GTTAAGTGCGCGCGCTGCGATGCTGGTGGCCCGGGTTCGGATCCCGGGTGCGCATCGAGGCACCACTTCTCCGTTCATCCTGAGGCCGAGTCCCACATATAGCAACTAGAAGGATGTGCAGCTACGACATACAACTATCCACTGGGGCTTTGGGGGGAAAAAATAAAAAAAAATAAATAAAATCTTTAAAAAAAAAAAAAGAAAGGATTCAGGAGGTGGTTCGCCTCTTATTCACGCCGAGAAGGTGGCGTGCGCTTTACTCCTGGTGCACATCTGGCTTCAGGATGAGCCACACTTCAAGGGCTCAGTGGCCACAGGGGCTTGTGGCCGAGGGTCATCCAGGGCCAGGCCCCCGGCGCCTGCCCTTCCCTGCTGGGGACTCACCGAGGAGCTTCAGGGCCCTGCCGTCCACCTGTCGACAGGACAAGGCAGGAGGCCTTTCCAGGGTGGGCGAGACTTGGAGGCCGGGGGCAGCCCCTGCTTCCCTCCCCCACACGTCCACTTCCCACTTGTCCTCTCTGTTCCTCCTCCAGTGGCCCTGGTCCTAGAGGATGGCAGAGTGGGGTCTGCATGAGCAGGGAGCTAGTGATACTGCGAACAGCCACTTCAGGGAGGCTTCCCCCCAGAAGGGGTGCTAACGGAGGAACCCCAGGCCCTGTTTCCATTGGTGAGGGTGATCTTTGAGTCAGGGTTTCCTCTGGCCACCCCAGGGGGTTGGAGCTTGTCTCCACGGCCCCCTACCCCCTGCAACCGGGCTGGTGGCTGCAGAGGGTGGGACCATCAAATCTTTGTTAGCACCGGTTCATGAGCTGTGGGCAAATGAGATGCATGTCATGATAAATGGCGTTGGCACGTGTGGAAGGCACTGTTCAAGCAGCCATCTGACAGTGTGTCCATCAGGGAGATTTACCGAGGCCCCCCAGGGTCAGGGCCTGGAGTCTGCGGGCTGGTGTGCCGCTCAGAGAGAGAAGGAGAGACGGGCATCCCCAGGGGGCCTCGGCAGACAAGCGGTCAAGCCCCAGGCAGGCCCGTTTCTGCACTGCTGGGCGCCTGGCGGGCAGGGGGCCAATGGGATGGGCTTGCCTCTGGACTGCAGACAGGACTAGGTGAGGCGAGATGGTGCCTCTCTTCCACGGGCTCAAGGCTGCCCCCTTGGACCTGCCCACAGGTGGGCTGGGCAGAGTGATGGCCAGCAGGGCCTTTGCCCCAGCAGTTCCCGAGGACATGGAGGGCCGGGCCAGGCCATGGCCTGGCCAGCTTAGGTGGGGTGCCAGGGGCGAGACATCAGGGGCCAGCACAGGGCTGCATGAGATGAGGGGCTGCAGGCCAAGTGCTCCTCAGGGCCTAAATGCATAGGTCCCTCGGATGCACAGCCACTGCAGCCCCCTGACCCTAAGGAGGCTGCTTCAGCCACAGCGGGGACCTAGGCAGTGCCTTTGATCCAAGTGGGGGTCAAGGGGCCTGGGGTTGGAGGTGCGTCCATGGCTTCCACAGCCTGACACCTGGGGCTCACTGTCCCTACTGGCAAGTCCTCCCTTTGCTCTGGCCCTCTCCCACCTGCTGTTGGGGTGCAGTGATCCCCTGGCACAGGCTCCCTCCGGGTACTGGCCTGGTCCAGTGGAAGGCATGACAGTGCTGGGCGCTGGACACTGGGCTTGGAGGCCTCAGGCATCTTCCCTTCTCCCAGGATTTGCACTGTGGTGGGTTGGCCTCAAAGTGCCTCTGGCTCCCCACCCTCCCCAAACTTGGCAGAGCTCAACCCTATCACGCTGCCTCCATCAAGCCCTCTGGTGTCGCCAGGGTGGCCTCCTTTGCCACTTTGGTGTCTTTTCCGTTTTGGCTCTGGGAACACACATGTTTGTGGGTGTGTGTCTCTGTGTATGTATGTGCCTGTGCATGTCTGTGCAGGGTTCTGTGTGTCTTGTGTGCATGTTTGCACACGTGGGTCTGTGTTGGTGCACGTGTGTCTGTGTGTTTGCGGGGGGTGCCTGTGTTTGTGCGTGGGTCTGTGTCTGTGTCCGGGTGCGGGAGCGCGCGCAGTGGAATGCGCGGGGCGGGGGTGGCGGGCGCGCAGCGGGTGCGGCGGGGGGGACCAGCTCGGCCTGGGGGGCGGGGCTTGGGGGCGGGGCTGGGGGCGGCCCCTCTGGCGTCCAAGGACTTGGCCTTTACCTGCGGGGGGCGGAGAGAAAGCTGAGAACATAAAGGCGAGAGGTGGGGCGCGCCGGGCCAGAACGGCTGCTGGCGGCGCCGAACGTTTTGGAGCGGGGCGGCGGAGTGTGCGGCCCGGCCCAGAGCCGGGACTGGGAGCCCGAGCCCTCCCGGCCGCTCTGCCGACCCGGCCATGGAGGCGTACCGGGGCCGCGGCGGGCTGGCCGCGCTCTGGTGCCTTGGGCTCCTAGGGGGACTGGCGCGCGTCGCGGGCACGCACTACCGTTACCTCTGGAGGGGCTGCTACCCGTGCCACTTGGGTCAGGCCGGCTACCCCGTGAGCGCCGGCGACCGGAGGCCAGGTGGGCGCCAGGTGGGCTCTGCGCGGGCGGGCGGGACGGGGAGCCTGCTCTGCCGTGCGCTCCCTTTGTTTCTTCTGTTCTAAGTTTGCGCCCATTGCGCCCTGGCGTCTGGTAGCGCCAAGGCTGGAGGGAGCGAGTGGGGGCAGTGCCCGGCAGGCGGCCGCTGCCTCTGAGACAGGGCCCGTGTGCTCTGAGTCATCGGACGTTCCCGTCGCCTCTCGGGCCTGGCTGCGGGGTTGCTGACGGCAGAGTGGTCTCATGACCAGAAGGAAGAGAAACATCCTCTTGCATTTGCCGGTGGCCACAGGGAGTGCATTGCCCCAGGGCACTGGCAGCTGTGCCGATCAAGTAGGAAGGCAGGCTCGAGAGAGACCCCTGGGCCCCTGGGCCCCTTGGGGGTCGTGTATGGTTGTGGCAGGCACCATTCTTTCTGCCTGCCACCTCTCCCTGGTCCTTGGGAGCATGGTGGTCAGCCTAGTGGGCTGCAGGGTCAGCTTCGAGGACCCCAGCAGCCCATGGGAAGTGGATACACCCCTGTCCTGGGTCCATCTTGCCTCTCCCTGCGGTTCAGATCTGGTACCCAGTCTGGGCCAGCCTCCCTCTAGGAAGCTCCTTTGAGCGTCTGTGGATCCTTGGAGCTTGGAGTCGGGCGGGCATCCTCAGGAATGTGAGGTGGGGCATGGTGTGCTGCTCCGGTGAATCATCACCTGGATTACCCGGCGGCCACTCCTCTCCAGGCCCTCCCAGGCCCCTGAGTGTGGCTCTGTGCAGGGCACCTGGTCTCCTTGGAGACACTGGCCCTGCTCAGCATCCTCTGGGCCAGTCTCTGCCGCACTCCATGCCCAGAGGGCCCGCAGAGCCCGCAGAGCACTGAGCTGCAGGCCCTTGACTTGGGCAAAGTCTCCTGCCTCCCCTGGCTTTGTTACTTGGCCAGCTGGGGCCCAGGCTTGGTCCCCATGGGGTAGGCAGCCCTCCCACTGGGTGGCTCAGCCAAGGCTGGGCGGGCACTGTCCCTCCACCACTGGCGGTGCTAAATGCCGTGAGACTGTGCAGCATCCAAAGGCCTGGGCCAGGCGGGGCTGGGCTTTGGGGAGCCCCGCCCTGCTCCAGGGCCTGCTTGAGCTTTCAGAGGAGAGAGAAGGGCCCGTGGACAATGGGGTACACACTCCGGGGGTGAGGACCCTGTGACATATTTGGGGGGAAAGCAGGACCTTGAACTTGATGACTACTTGCGTGGAGCTTTCTGGCAGGATCCTAGAGGGCTCAGATTTTCCCGTAAGTACGGGTGAGGCTTCAGAAGGGGCTTATTTTGGGTGGATCTGCAGGTGCAGCTGATTTGACCCTGGCTGTGTGCTTCTGGGCCAGGAGCTGGTGTGACTGGGTGACAGTTGGTGGAGACCCCACGGGCTCCCAATGGCATCGTGATGGGCTCCCCGAGGCACCACCATCGCCCAGCTCAGCAGACACTGCAGGTCCGGCCAGGCTCCCAGGTGAACTGGCCCAGTGTCAGCACAGTGATGTGTCACCGTATGCCAGTGTGCGAGGCAGTTTCCCTCACTGGGCTGCCTAAGTCCCCAGTCACACGTCTCAGCTGATGGCAGCAGCAGGGCTGTGGGGACTTTCCTGCAGAACCCTGGCTGAGCTGTTCCTTAAAATAGGTGCGGTCCAGAGGCTTTCGGGCCACAGGGCTTTCCGACAGCTCCTCTCCGTGCAGGTGGGTGCTGCACCACAGGTGTGGCGACTGGGCCTTGGGCTGGAGAGGGCCTGGTGGGTCTGCCCTGGGCTGGGTGCTGTCTTTGGAAGGGGCAGGTGTCCTCCTCTGACTCTCGGGTAAGCACAGGCGGGGAGGCGGCCTCCCAGCTCCCTTTCAGCCTGGGGGTGTCCACACTGCCGCAGGGACCAGGCCCCCCTCCGTGCTGTCTGGGAGAGCGATGTTTTCTGCTATAGTGTCAGAGTCTGAGGGGCAGATGCTCGGTTGGGGCCCCGCTGTCTGGGGTGTCTCAGGGCGCTGGTCCCACCACAGGGATCACTGTCTATTGGTGGTGCAGCGGGGCCCACGAGGGCAGGCCTGCCGGACAGGACCCAGGAGTACAGCTAGCCCTCCAGAGGGCACAGTGGACCTGACTGTGGGAGTCAGGAAGGCAGACTGGCCAGAGTGAACGTTTGGGAGCCTGGGTTTCTGAGACTCTGTGAGTCGTGGCTCTGCAAAAGACTTGAGAGCTAACAGTTATGTGCTCCGCGTTCAGTTCCTGTGGCTGGTGTAACAAATGCCCCAGCCTTAGTGGCTAAAACAACACAGGTCTGTTACCTTACAACTCTGGAGGTCAGATGTCCGAAATGGGCTAAAATCGAGGTGTGGGCAAGGCTGGTTCCTTCTGGAGGCTCTGGAAGAAGAACCCATTTCCTGCCTTTTCCAGCTTCCAGAGGCAGCTGGCATCCTTGGCTTGTGGCCCTTTCCTCCATCTTCAAAGCCAGAGTCACAGCATTTTCAAATCTCTGTTTCTCTGAGCCTTCTGCCTCCCCCTTATAAAGGCCTGTGTGATGACACTGGGCCCACCTGGATCTCCTGGAATAATCTCCCATCTCAAGGTCCTAATCCTACCTGCAAAGTCCTTTTTGCTGTGTAAAGTTCCAGGGAGTAGGATGCAGACCTCTTCGAGGGGCCATTATTCAGCTAACCACACTCTCCTTAAAGACTCCTGAGCCTGTGGCTACTTAGGTTATGGCCACTGCCAGCATCATCACAGGGCCCACAGCTGCGGGGTCTCTGGGGCTGTCTGAGAGCGGCTCTCTTCTGCCACCACATGGCCCGCCTTGGGAGCCGGGCAGGCAGGGTTCAGGTAACTGGATCCTGCCTTGTTTTCTGAGTGTAAGTCATTTCTATAAAGGGGCCTAGATCTCAGAGCTGGGGGGGACCCAGACAGGAGGTCATCTGGCCAAATGCCCTGCCCCCTAAGCCGGCTTCTACTGCCTGGAGAGGTGAAGGAGGAGGCCTCAGACCCTTCAGCCTTGAACTGCCCCGCTGTGTTCAGACATCCAGACTGGGGGACAGCAAACAGTGGGCGCTGGAACCCGGAGCTGAGCCTCGTAGCCCCCGCCTGTGCCGCCAGTCATGAACGCAGTCTCCCTGCCTCCTGACCACCGGGCAGTGCAGCTCCGGGGGTGGGCAGGGCTTGGGGCTCCGTCAGCGTGGGGGGAGGCCCGGCTGACGTGGGGCTGTGTGTTTTAGGCCGGAGCGGGATTTCTGAGAGTACTAGGTGGGTGGGTACTAGGTGGGCGGCCGAGTCTGAGTGTTCCCATCTGCACAGCAGGAGGGGGATAAGAGTGCAGGTCTTGTGCGTGGTAAGTGCGAGCAGGGGCAGGAGGCCGGCTGTCAGGGCCAGCCCAGTGGGAAGGTCCTGCTGACCGATGGCTGCACCCTGCCCCAGTGTCCCCGCCTTGCTTCTTCCCAGACTGTCCATCAGTTTGGTGTCCTTGCGGCCTGCAGGGCTGCTGGGCTGGCGTGAGGGGCAGACGCTCTCCCGGGCTCCCCATGTGTCCTGGACGGCCCGCTCACCTGGGCGCTGCTTAAGGACGTGGCCCCCCAGCCAGGTGTCCGAGGGGCTCAGGAGCGTCCCTGCTCTCGGGGGAGCAGTGCTGCTGAATCAGCCTCTCCTCCAGCTGAGTGTCTGGAAAGCCCAAGGTGGATGCCAAGTTGCCTGCTGAGAGCCAGGTTTCTGGAAGCCAGTGTCCCCTCAGGCTGCTGGCTCGGTGCCTGCCCCTGGGCCGTGTCCGGAGCACATCGGCCGAGCTGGGAACAACCTCCCCTCTATCCTTCTCTCCCTGCTTTGTCTGCTGGCTGGGCAGGGCCACTCTAGACACATGAGACCCGGTCCATCTACCCTCCTCCCTGGACAGCACACACGTGGCACCTCTTCCCCCAAAGCCTTGCTAAGCATCTACTGTATGCCCAGTGCTGTGCTCTGTACATTCACATCCTGACGTACTGGGGACCCTCGCAGGGGTCTCAGAGCCAGCAGTCTCCTCTCTGAGCCCCCTCGGGTGGGTGCTGCCTGCCCGCCCTGCCCTGCTCAGTTGGTGTGGGTCTGCCTCTCCACCCCCAGCTGATCTGGACGCTGAGCCCTGAGCCCACCCCCCACACCCTGGTGCCCTGTGTCCCTCAGCCTCCTTGGGGCTCTGTTGGGGGCCGCTAACCCTTTGCCTTCAAGCTTCTTCCCGATCATCATCCTGGCTTCGTTCTGAGGAGGCCGCAGGTTCCCCCGGTGCAGGTGGAGAGATGCTCTTGGTCTTGTCTGCCCCCTCCTCTCTGAGGCAGCCCTGGGGCTTGGGAGGGGCCCGGGGGTCTCCCCAGAGTGGACGTGGCTTGTGCATGGAGCAGATGGCCCTGGGGGTCCAGGCAGAGACCTGGTCTCCTGGGGTTCGTTTTATGTCATTTCTGGAATGCCAGGCACGTTCTCAGAGCGTGTACTGGTGGCAGGGTTCCGTACGTGGGAAGCATAGCCTGATGGGCAGGCTCGGGGGACAACCAGGAGGGGCCTCACCCTGGGTTCCACCTGTGGCCTTTGGCACCCGTCAAAAGTGTGCTCAGATGGCTGGAGTTTGAGGATGGGAGCCTCGGAGGTGGGCGTTTTTATGGGGCAGTGGTGGGGGGACTGGAGAGTGGAGTTGTGGTGGATGACGTGGGCCTGTCGGATGGTGAAGCAGAATTAGAAACGTCAGCTCTGTGCAGCCCCTGCGTCACGCCCACTGGCCGTGTTTGCCACACAGCTGAGGACTTGCCCCTCGAAATTGTATTTTCTCCCAGTGGAGCCATGCAGAGTGGAATCTTTTGCTGGCACTTTGAGCCGATCATAGCCTTCCCCTGTGAGGCACGGTCAGCGGTCAAGGCCTCTGTTGTCCAGGCGAGGGTGCCTGGGCCAGTCGCCCAGCTGCCCCAGACTCGGCTGGTAGACGCCCGTGAGCAAAGAGCATCTATTCTTCTGTCTCCTCTCTTCTCTGGTCTGGGAAGCTGGTCACCTCGTTGGCAAAGCTGGCGTCTGGAAGGTGTGGACTTGCCTGAGGAACACATGCCCGTGCCTGGTGCCCCGGGGCTCCTCCATATCTGTGCTGCCCGAGCAGCGGCCTCCTACCCCCGTCTCCTGGGCAGTCGGGTCACTCCTGGCGTCAGCCTCGCACACAGGTGTCTGAGGCATCCTGCCTCCTATCTTCCTGCCACTCTGTTCTGTCCACCTTGGTCACTGCCCGGGTTGCCGGAAGTGGGCCTGGAGGGAGAGATGAGAGGCGAGGCAGCCCGAACCTCCTCTACACCTCTCCGTTCCTGCAGGCGGTGACCCTCCTGGGGTGCAGCCCCCCTGGGCCTCCAGCCCTGGGAAGGGTTTTTCCCACCCCTCCACTTCCCGGCTTGGCTCCTGGGGCAGCTTCTTAGGCCTTTGGTCAACACTTTCCCTGTGGCCTGAGGCAGGTGCCGGGGGGAGGAGCAGGTGTCCAGTGCAGGTGCAGGTCGTCGTGTGGTCTCAGGTGTGGGGTGTCCTCCTGGAAGCAGAGTGCCTAGGACCTCCGCTAGGTCCTCTTCTGGGGAGGTCAGCTATGCTGGCCTCCTGTCTCCCTGGCATAGGGAGCCCACGGGGGGACCCCAGGCTCACACCACGTGTGCTAGTTTCCTGTGGCTGCTGAAACCAATACCACGATAGAGATTTATTCTCTCCCAGTTCTGGAGGCCGGAAGTCCGAGATTAGGGTGTCAGCAGGGCCATGCTGCTGCTGAAACTTCCAGGGGATGACCCTTCCTTGCCTGGTCCTTCCAGCTTCTGGTGGCTCCCCGTGCTCCTTGGCTTGTGGCTGCCTCCCTCCGGCCTCTGCCTCCCTGCATGTCTCTGACCAGGACCCCAGGCACTGGATTTAGGGCCTTGCTTACCCAGGATGATCTCATCTGGATCCTGAACTAATCATGTTTGCAAAGACCCCATTTCCGGATAGGGTGACGTCCTGAGGCTCTGGATGGACGTGAATTTTGGGGATGCTGTTCAACCCAGGACACACCCCCTGCCCTGCCCTCTCTTGGGCTCTTCCCCTGAAGCCTGGGCAGGGGCGTCTCATGAGTTATTGGTTTCTCCTTTTGGGCTCGTGGGCCCCAGAAGAGGGCTGCATTGCCCTGAGAGCATTTGTGGGTTTGGAGTTAGGATGAGCGTGTGCTCCAGGCTCAGTCTTGAAAGGTGCTAGAGCGGGGCCTCCCCGCCCCTGGTCTGCTCCCCCTGCAGCCGCTGTGTTTGCTGGACCACTGCTCCTTGCATTCCGGCCAACCCCCAGGTGTTGCCCACATTTTGACCGACCTCTGGTTGCACCCCACATTCCGGTTGCCCCCAGAGGTGGCGGCTCTTCCTCTCAAGCAGGCTGGCCAGGCCTCGGGGATGGGCCCTGCCCTCTCTGCGCTCTGCTCCGGCAGGCATGGGTGAGGGCCTCTGGGAGCGTTGCAGGCGTGGCCTGAGAGGAGGGTCTTGGGTGCGGCCTGGGCACCTGTGCCGAGGGCGGTGTCCTCAGGGAGGGGGCTGGGCTGGGGATCTTGGGGCCGGCGCACAGTGGGTGGGCAGCCTGGGCAGGTACTGACTGTTAACCCCTGGCCCTGTGTCCTCTCAGATGTGGATGAGTGCCAGGTACACAACGGCGGCTGCCAGCACAGGTGTGTGAATGTGCCAGGCTCCTACCTCTGCGACTGCAGGCCCGGCTTCCGGCTCCACGCGGACGGCAGGACCTGCCTGGGTAAGCACCCCTGCCCCCCTGGGAACGGCTGGCTCTCCTCCTGGCCTTGGCTGGGTCCTTGGACTCCTGAGCTGAGAGGCCTGACGCCGCTATTGCTGCAGCTCTGTGCTGCTGAGTGTGCGATGTGTGGAACCCGATGGCCGGCCCGCTGTGGGCCTTGCCAGCTCCACTCACATGGGGGAGGCTCAGGCAGGTGAAAGAATGTGTCTTGAGGGCTCCCCCATGCCGAGCTGGAACCTGTGACCCCAGGCCTCTGTGACCCTGTGCACCCTCTGCAGCCACACCTGAATCCTGCTGGGATGCCGAGGCCATCTCCCCGGTGGAGGGGCCTCTCGTGACTTGGGAGGAGCTCCTGGGCCGCCGTCCTATCAAGGGTCCTCTGTAGCAGAAGCCGCGGTGGTGGGTCAGCAGAGACCCGGCCTGGTTGTGCCATCCCCAACCTCGGGGGAGACTCAGATGCTTTCTGAGTGGTGGGGGATGCTGGCCAGAAGGCCTGGCCTGGGGTGGGGGCAGCATGAGACCACTCTTGGCCTGCAGAGCTGGGCTTCTTGGACCCAAATCCCCCACCGCAGCCTCAGGGAGCCTGGGAGGTTGGGCTGTGGCAGGCGGGGATAATGAAGAAGGGGTAACCGAGAAGTGGGACCCTGACCCTTGGCTCCTCTGCAGGGTCTTTTTGCCATGAGGAATGGGCTCAGTGGAGGTGCTGGGGCCACAGGCTGCTGCCCCTGCCAGCTCGGGAGGGTTACAGGGAGAGAAGGGGAGAGTGCCAGGTGCCCACCGAGGCTGAGGGTAGAGGGGCTGGAGGCCAGGAGTCTGGTGTTGGGCAGTCAGCGTCCACGCCCCACCCTCCCCCACCACTCTCCTGGCTGCTCTGGACACGGGTGCCAGGGCACAGGGCGGACCCCTCCCTGATGGCCTCCCTGCGTCTGGGAGGCTGCGTGGGGGTGGTTCTCTTGGAGCAGGGGGCTGGGGCAGGGCACCCCTTCTTTGTGCCCTGGAGATCCAGAGCGGCCAGGCGGGCTCTAAGCAGCCTTCTTCCTGCATGCCTTGCTGCTATGTGGCAGGGCGGCCTGCCAGCCCTGGGGGGCCCTCCCCGCACACTCTCACATGTCCCGGGAGCCAGGCAACTGCCCTGTGAAGTTTCTCCGGGTCGGAAAGTGGAAACAGATGCAGGAATGTTGTGATGAGCTTTAGACAAACATGACGCGGATGCAGCCCCCAGCTGCTGCCTCCTGAGGTGGGAGGGGGGCTTCTGGAGCCCGTGGCCAGGGGATCTTCAGCCTCAGGGTCCTCTGGTCCCCCAGATCCCCTGATGTCCTTCCCACGCGTCTCCTCTGGGGCAGGGTTCTCCTTGGTAAAAGGTATCCCTGGGGGCTGGTCCAGGTGGGCTGGATGGGGCCTGGTGGGTACCCATTGCTCCCTTCCTGCTGTGGGCACCCTCATGAGGGGCCTGGGACACCCCCTCCCCATCTCCCTAGTCTCCCCCATCTGTGCTGATGGTGGCCTTCCCAGAGACGCTGGAAAGGATGAGGACTGGGTGGTGATGGGTAAATAGCATGTGAAGGGGAGGGGGCCCTTCAGAGTTTTGGAGGGACGGATAGGGGCCTTGAGCTGCTGGCTTTGGGAAGCCCAGGAGGGGTGCCCTCGGTCTTGCCCCTGGCCCAGCCAGCCCACCCCATGGCTTCACTGGAGCCCCTCCCATGAGCCTCTCCTGGGAGAGGCCTGAGCTCAGGGCCCCAGAAGTCTTGATTTGTGGCACTTGCTTATTTTAAAGGATCTTTTCGGGGTCTGATGCCAGGGCCGCCAGGGGTGGTTTGCACAGCCTGGCATGAGACTGCTGGGACCTCACCACCCCCTCTGCCTGCCACCCACACGCTGCACACCCAGACTGAGTGGGTGTGTCCCAGGAGGTCCCCGGCTCTCTTGGGAGCTGGTGCCCACCTCCTGGCACTCCCACCAGAGGGCGCAGTGAGACTCCTCTGCAGTGGCCTTTCCTGGTCAGTGGCTGGAAGTGCTTTACTCCATGCTGGTGTTTGGCCTAAGTTGGTCGCTGTCTCTTTCTTCTGACTGCGACTCCCAGCAGGAAATCCATGCTGGACCCGGGCACTCATGCACACTCACGTACACCTGGCTGCTGTTGGCGGAATTCCTGGGAGCTGACACCTTGCCAGGGTGCAGGCCAGTCCCCAGGTCTCCTGGGAGTGTCTGGGATTGGGGTGGGTTTGTCCACCTGGGTCTGCTGGGAGCTGCTCTCCCTGGGTGGGGGCCCTGCGCTTTGCTGAGAAGCTCCCAGAGCAGACAAGGGTTCTCCTGGGGGCTTCTTCACAATCACAGTGGGAAGCCTTTCCTCTAGGGGTACCCCACCCTTCTCGCTAAGGTGCCCTTTTTGGTTGCTGAGGGACCCACCTGGCTGCCTTGGACCTGATGTGCTGGCCAGGGTGGGTAGGTGTGGCTGGGCATCTCAGATCCCGAATGAGGGACTTCCAGGTGGGGGCTGGTGGAGGGCACTGCCCGGCCCATGCCAGGCTGCTGGACCCTCCTAGGGCTCTGAGGGGGGTGTGGGGCCCTCCCCGCTTCGCTTCTCCTCCAAGACTCCCAGGGTGCAGGGCCTGGGGAGGAACTGGGGCCTTGTCCGAGGTTCACAGTGGCACATTTTGACCCCAGACCACCCTAGGGCCTCGGCAGGCATTTATGGGAATAATCAGTGTGGGAACCATGCCCTTGCCTGCCCTCCCTCGTCCACGTAGGCTGGCTGTGGGGCAGGCTGCACAGCTGGGGCACAGCTGCTCTGGACCCCTCCCCCGGGGCCTGCTGGGATCCCCTTGGAGGGAGGGGTGCTTGCATTCTTCTGGGGCTTTGCAGGCAGGCAGGGAACAGGCCCTGGCACCTCCTCTCCTCCAGCGGCTTGGAGTGAGGATGATAGAGACGCTGGAGGTTGGGCGTGGAGAAAGTGCCCACAGGGATGTGACTGTCCTTCCACGGTACGGGGTGGGGTTGCTCTGTGTGCTGGGACCTCTCAGGGTAGTGCCACATCAGGAGGCCCTGAGGGATCTGGGACGTCCTGAAAGGAAGCAGGCTTGAGGGAGGCTTTGAAACACTTGTCAGATTTGCCTCCGAGGCAGGGAGAGGACTGGAAAAGCACAGCTTTCTTGCATCCCTCCCTTGTGAAAGAACTTATGGAAATAAAACACAAGAACGTTTCAATTATTAAAAGTGAGAATTTGCTAGAAGGATTTTGCCGTCGTCCCCAAGGCCCCTGAGTGCTTAGTGTCCCCCCCCCCGCCCCCGGCCGTCCTGGCCCCAGGAGAAGCAGAAGCAGCCGGGTGTCCTGGGGTACCGCATTGCCAGGATGCCCTCCTGGGTGTGTCTCCCAGGCTCTGGGGTGGCCCAGGGCTGGTCCACCCTGCTTCTCACCCTCGGGGTGCAGAGCCAGCCCTTGTCCTTCCCCAGCTTGTGGAAAATGGGGCCTGCAGAGTGGTGGTTGGCAACGTGTCTAGGAGCATCATTGTTGCTTTTCTGCGTCATCTTGCAGAGCGCCAGCGTGCAGACCCACAGAGGAGACCAGCTCCCAGGTCGTGTGACACGGCGCTGGGGAACCCTCTCCTCCGTGCGGCTGGGCGTGCTGAGCTAGTGTGGCACCTGCCCAGTGGTCCCTTCTGGACCCTGCCCTTGCACATGCTGCTTCCCCATGTCCCCCAGGGCAAGCAACACGCTCAGGGCCGGTCTGAGGAGCCATGGTATCACCAGGTCAACCAGCATGAGGTCTTTCCAGGCTGGTGCCCTGGGCTGGCCACGTGGAAGAGTAGGGGTGTCCATCCTCCTCCCCTCGCCTCAAGCCTGTCGGCCATTTGGACAGATGCCGTGGGGAGGATTCTGCTGTCAGCATGTGTGCCCTCTGGCCCAGCTGCCCCTCCCACATCCCCTCCCCCTGGAGTCAGATGGGCCCGACTGTGCCCACAGCATGAGGAGGGTCTCCCTGGCCCTGCCTTCTGTCGGGGCTCTGCCCCTGTGCAATGTGTGGCCTCAGGGCAGACGCTCCCCTCAGGCCTGGGTCTCCCCAGGGGCTGCACAGGACCCTCCAGCCTGCCATTCCCTCTGCTCATTGGAGAGGAGACCCTGGGGAGGCCGCTGCTGGCAGCGTCTGGGGCGGGTGCCAAAGCCACAGGCAGCAGAAAGATAGAGATGGCGAGACTTGTCTGCAAAACTCATCCCTGCGAAGCCGCAGATGCAATTCCTTGAATGTTTTCTTATCCCCTCCAAACAGAAACAGGCAGCGGCATGGGGGAGGTGAGAAGGGCAGCCCCGCCCCATGAAACTGCCCTGGGAAGTCGAGGCTTTGCCTGAGACCAGGACCCCAAAAGTGCAGCCCACTGGCGCCCAGGGGGTGGTGGGATTGTCACATCCCCACCCGGGGAAGCTGGGGGCGGCTGCAGACCCTGGGCTGAGCGCAGAAACCCAACGGGGAAGCAAGGGCTAACTGGGGCCCCGCGGGCGATGGCGGGCTGTGGGGTTGGAGTCGGTGAGTGGAAGGGCAGAGCAGGAGGAGGGAGGGGGATTCGAGCTGAGGTGCGGGTGGCGTTGGACGGCGTGGGAGGAATGAACGATTTCAGACGGGCACCAAGGGGCTGCAGCGGAGGCTGGGGTTCATGCCTCTGAGTGCTTCACCCCAAGTGGGAGGGCGCTGGGCAGGACCGCCAGCACTGCCTGGGTCCTGGGTCCTGGGTCCCGGGTCCCTGCTCGCAGCCGTGTGGAAGGCCTGTCTTTAGCGCTGTCTCTGGCGGGGACTGAGGAGCGGGGGCTGCTTGGCGGGTGTGCAGTCTGTGATGCTGGGGACAGTGCCAGCCCCTGGCTTGTGGGCGAGGGCTTACAGGGCTGCAAGTGAATCGTGTGTCCCGTGCCGCACGGAGGCCCCATCCCAAGGGTGGGAGATGGGGCAGGACGCACAAGACAGAGCAGTAGGTGACCCATGAGCTGCCTGGGGGGTGGGATTGGGCAGAGCCCAGGTGAGTTTCCCCTCCTGGCCGAGCCAGGTGGGCCACCCTTTTCCTGTCCTGCCATCCTGGCCCTGTCCCCAACAGATGGCTTCCTAGAAAGAAGAGCGGCATGTGGCTGCTGACCACATGTGGTGTGAGGCTCGTGGGATCTGGAAACCAAGCCAGTCTGGGGGCAGTGATTACAAAACCTCATGGAGGCAGCCCTGAAACCACCTGGTTGGGTTTGGAGGCTGGAGCAGAGTGGGCTTGCCCGCTGCTGACAGGCTTGCCCTCCTCCCGGCTGGCCCTGCATCGGCACAGCCCCTTAGATGACCAGCTCAGGCTGGCCGGCAACAGAGCTGCCCTCAAGGTCGGCCCTCTACAGCGCACACCTGCTACTTCGCCCTCACACTCAGGTGCACCTGTTGCTGGGCTCCAGCCCTGAGTCTGTGCCCAGGTCTCAGGTGCTGCCACTTGCACCTCCAGAATCGGGGACAAACGGGCACAAACGGGCCCTACACCCTATAGGACATTTGTTTTCTAAGGTCCAGTGTTGTGCTCAGGTAGGGCCCTGTTCCCTTGGATGAGCTGGATGCTGCACGCCTGAGGCTGCTGGGTAGGGCGGCTCCTGCTGGCAGAAGGCGAAGTTGCAACCCAGCTCTGTTAGAACCCGCGAGTCCCCTGGCAGAGGCCCCAGGTCCTAGAATTTGCAAACTGGGGAGTGAGGGTGTCTTAGTCAGCTCAGGTGGCCGTAACAAATACCACAGACTGGCTGGCTTAAACAACAGAAATTTATTTTCTTATAGTTCTGGAGGCTGGAAGTTCTAGATCGTGGTGCCAGCCAGCTTGGTTCCTTCCTGCCGAGAGCTTTTTACCTGGCACCTTCTTGCTGTGTCCTCATATGGCGGAGGGAGAGAGAGAGAGATCCTGGTGTCTTTTCCTATAAGGACACAAGTCCCATTGGATCAGGGCCCCACCCTTATGACTTCATTTAACCTTACTTACCTCTGTAAAAACCCTACCTGTATCCTATTTGGATACAGTCATGCTGGGGGTTGAATTTTAGGGGGACACAACCATTCAACCCATTAGGGGCTATGAAACCCCTAGTCTCCCGTTTTCAGCGGCTGCTGTCAGCTTTGCTTCAAGTCTGAGCATGGTCCTGATTTGCACAACTGCCCAGGCAGGGGTCATTGGGAAGTGAGTTATGTGGCCTGGTGTCACAGTGACCTGGGGGACCTGGAAACTTCACCACCAGCTCTGGGCACTGGCCACACAGAGGCTGGCCCTTCCCTGAGCCACACAGCTCAGCGCCTGAGAAATCTGCCTCGTTCAGCGTTCCGGGAATCCGTGGCACAGGATGTGCAAGATGAGACTGGGCTTGGCTCCCTCGTGTGCACAGCTTGGGAGCATCTGGAATGTTACAAGTGGGGCAGCAGAGTGGTAAGAGATGGGCTTGGGAGGGTGTGAGGCCGCACGGGAAGCCTGGACCCCCCCACCTGCGCCCACCTACCTGTGCTTTCTCTCCCAGTGGGCTCCAGGGGGCTCGGTGCCAGATTGCCCCTGGGACCACCTTGGGGCTCTGCCCATCTGGAGGGCTCCTTTCTTGTCCTGCCCCAGCTCCCTGAGTCCTCCTAGGGGCCGTGGTGCCTGCCCAGCCAGCCCGCCTGCCCAGGCTCCAAGCCCCTCTGTCTGTGTGCCTACCCGGCCCTGCCAGGAGAGCTTCTGCTTCCTATTACAAGTCCTAAGCCGGGATGAGGTTGGTTTCGGGAACACAAACAGAGCCCCAGGAGTGGGGCCAGCTCAGGCCATGCTCTGAGCCTCTGAGCCATGGCGGTGGGTTAAGCAGAGCTATCTCAGGTGAGGCAGGCGGGACCTGGGGGTCAGTGCAGAGTTGGGGGTAGATGGGTAGGCTCAGAGGCTGACGGGAACATGAGGTGGTGGCTGCCCTGCTTGCCTCAGTTTGGCTCACACCTCGTTTCTCTGCCGCTCTTCCCCTGCATGTGGCAGGGCCAGGCGCAGCCAGGAGACAGAGCCATCACTGCCACCCCTGGGCGCCCTCCTGGCCCCCACAGGGCTAGCTTGGCCCCAGGAAGGGACCCTGGGCATGGCTCCCCACCTGCACACCCCACGTGGGGAAACGGGACAGTATGGTGACCCCTGTGTTTGGCTTTTTTCAAACAAACTTGCTTTGAAGGAAGCTTTGCTTTTGGCAGACAGTGTGGCCCGGGCCTCGTCAGAGCCCTGAGGCTACTCACGTGCTCTGCATGTGAACGTTGCGGCTGCTCCCAGCTCAGCTGGCCTCCGAGCTCCTGCTCCCGGGGATGCCAGCCGTGCCGGTCTTGGCTCCTATACAAAATGACGGTGAATGGCCTCCCCAAAGTCGGGCCAAGGCTGGCGGCCCCCCAGGGTCTGTGATGACAGCACAGGTGGCATCTCGGGGTGCAGCCCTGCCCCTCAGCGGCTGCAGTGTCTGAGTAACGGGACTCAGGTTTGCTCCAGGTCCAGGCCTGCTGGGCAGTCACCCGCACCTCCCGGGGCACAGAAACAGTGCATTCTTGCTGCTTTGCTCCCGGGGAGGAAGCCGATTCCCTCCCTAACCATGAGGCCCCTACCAGAGACTCGATGGAGCTGCCAGAGGCCCAGTGCCCACCCGGGGGGCCCAGCCTCGCCCAGCGCCTCCTCCCTGGCATGGCCCCAGCCCATCCACCCAATACACAGGCGCCCACTCGGCCAGCCTGACCCACAGAGCCTGACCCTTTAGAAGCCTGAGCGTGAAGGCCTGGACCCTGCATCCTGGGACTGGGATATGGGTCCCTGGCTCTGTGGGCTCCCCGAGTGCTGTTCCCCACAGCCGCTGGGAGGAGTGGGGACTGTGAGGTCAGGTATGGGGCTGGGCCTGGCCTGGGGTGGGCATAACTGCACTCGTCTGTCGGGAGCTGGGGGAACTGGGCCGTCCATAGCAGCCCCCTGCCTGCCCCTCTGCCCTGGCCTGATGACCAAGATAGTGGAACGTCTGGACCTCCACCACCCTCTGCTGGCCTGCCGCCTCCTCCAGGGAGCTTCCCAGCCTGCTTGGCCTCTGAGCCCTGGACTCCCTGGCTCTCAGGGGGGCCCTGATGTTTTGCATTGTGTGCTGGGTGGCACTGGGCTTCCATTGAGACGAGTGGTCTGCTCAGCAGTGCCTCTCTACGCCCAGTTCTCGGGCAGGCTGGGGCTGGGGGGATCCAGAAGCGAACCATGGTCCTGCGTACCCTGTGTGTGGTCTGAGAAGCAGAGCCAGGCCCGTGAACCAACAGAAACAGTGTTGTTCTCTCAAAGACCCTGCGTCTGGGGCAGAGACGGGAGAGAGGAGAGGCCCGGTGTGGCCTGGAGGGTCTTGGCGGCTTCCTGGGGGAGGTGGTCACGGGTTGTCCCCTGCTCTGTGCCTGCCCGTCCTCCTGGGCTGACCTGGGCTCCTCTCTGTGTCCCTAGCCATCAACTCCTGTGCCGTGGGCAACGGCGGCTGCCAGCACCACTGTGTCCAGCTCACGGTGACCCAGCACCGCTGCCAGTGCCGGCCCGAGTTCCAGCTCCAGGAGGACGGCAGGCGCTGTGTCCGTGAGTATGCCGCCAGCCTGGGGACCCCTGCTGGGACCCCCGTCCTCTACAAACCCATAGATCTTTCCAGGGTCCCACAGCCTTAGCTGGGGTAGATGCAGGCCGTGCCTCTCCCTTTGGCTATTGGGGCTGGAAGGGGGGCCTCAGGAGGTGGGGCCCCTGGGCTGCTGAGAGGTGGTGGGGCATTGTCCAGCCCCCAGCGGGCATCGGGAGGGAGCCCCTTCGGCTGTGCTCTGGTGTCGCACATTGATGGGGGCAAGAAGCTCAGGTTGGGGAGTATGGGGGAGGCTGAGGAAGGGCATCTCATGTGTCCCTCAGGTCCAAGGCTCATCCTGGGCTTGCTGCGGGCGTGTGGGACCCAGGCCCCGGCCCTTTGGCAGAGAAGGCAGACCAGGCCCCATTTGGCACCTTACTCTGGGGTCTCAGGGCTGCTCGTCATGGAAAGAGAGGGCTTTGCTGATGGAGAAGGTGGAGCAGGCTCCGAGGCCCTCTGAGATATGGAAATGGGAGCCAGGGTGGGGCAGGTTCTGAGTGCCCCCTGCCTGTCCTCCTGGGTCCTGGGCCAGGAGTGAGTGTGGGCTGAGGGCCTGAGGCCAGCAGTGGGGGCAGAGTGTCACGGGGTCACAGGGCTGGGGGCTGCTGGGCACCTGGGCTCCAACTAGGAGAAGAGGTGCAGGAGGAGCCGGCCTGAGCCCTGCTGTCGTCTCTGGAGTCTTCTCGGGGGTCTTGGGGGCTCCCACACCTGGAAGGAGGGAGACCCACTGCTCCATCACACTGGAGCAGGAGGGGCGAGAGCGCCAGGTGGGGGCCTCTCGAGGGACCCTGGGGCAGGCACGCTGAATCTACCAGAGTCCCCCACTTCCCACCCTGATCTCTTCCCTTTGCCTCCATTCCTCCGGGTCCGTGACTGCAGGGAGAGACCCGTGCGCAGACCGGAACGGTGGCTGCATGCACACGTGCCAGGCCCTCCGAGGCCTTGCTCACTGTGAGTGCCACACGGGCTACCGGCTGGCGGCCGACCGCAAGGCCTGCGAAGGTAAGGCGCCCCTCCCAGTGCTTGGCCCTGCCCCAGGGTCAGCTGTGGAGGGACCGTGTCCTGCTGCACCGGACTTATGGGAGCAGGGCTGAGCTGGGATGATGCACAGGCTCATCTCTGCCACTGGGGGCCGGGGCCGGGGTGGGCGGCTGGGGGCTGGGAGGAGGGGCAGGGACACACTCAATGAGCCACTTCCAACCCGAGTCTCGTTTCGGCCAGAGCACGTGGGAGAGCTCGGGTTGCGTTTTTATTTTTTAAAGATTTCTGGTACCATCTAAGCAGTACCCACTCGTTAGGGAAGCGGAGAAATGAGGCACTATCACCGTGAGCCCAGGTAGCAGCTCCACGTTGGCTTCCAGTCGTTTCTGTGGGTTGTTTGTTAACAAATGCGTTAGAAACCCGGATCCCAGTTGGGTGCCACTTTCTAGAACATGCTCTCCGTCCTTGGCTGCAGGGGTCCCCTCTGGGTGCTGTGCGTGTTTGTTAGTTACCCCCTCCCAGGACTCTCGGGTGCCCTCCTGTTACACGCAGCTCTGGGTGAGCAGCCTCGGGGAGGGGTCCGTGCGCGTCCCCCTTTAGAGACTTAGAGAGAGTCTCTAAAGTGACAAGGGTGTGTCCAGGGCAAGCAGTGATCAGAGAGACAGGGCCTGTAGGGTCCACACGTCACCAACACTGGGAGGGAGTGTTTTAGGAATCGTTGCCAAAGGGAAAGGTATGCCCTGCCGCTCTGGACGCAGGTGGCTGTGGCGGGCTCAGCAGGAGACAAGGCTAAGGGTCAGCTTCTTCATCCCAGGGAGTCTTAGGGGGCGTGACCGAAGCAGTAGTCGGACATACCGGGGTTCAGGTCTTGACAGCCAGTGCCATGTAGGCACAGGGATGCACCCGGATGTCAGCCAATTGTGCGCTTTTTCCTCTGGCCCCCCAGAGACGGGCGGTGAAAAGGCCCCTCCTAAACCGGGCCCTGGACAGGGGCTTGGTGAGAGGGCAGTGGACACAGCTGAGGGACCATGGCCTCACAGAGGTGGAGCCCGAGCCCTGACCCTCCGGTGGGGACCCCTCCACACTAAGGCACCACTCCTAGGGGCCGCATCTCCCAGGCCAGTGGCCCACAGCCGTCCCCCTTGATCTCTCCTGTCCAGACGTGGATGAATGTGCCATGGGGCTGGCCCAGTGTGCCCACGGCTGCCTCAACACTCTCGGGTCCTTTAAGTGTGTGTGCCACGCGGGCTATGAGCTGGGCGCCGATGGCCGGCAGTGCTACCGTGAGTGGGCGGGCATTGGCACCATGGGGTGTGGAGGTGCCTGGGGGTGGCAAGATGGCTCCCCAGTCCCCCACGGGCCACCAGCTTGCTTTGGCCGAGGGGCAGAGCTTCCTTGTCAGTCAAGGGCAGTGTTGGGCCTGGGGGCTGTGAGTGGGCCCCAGGAGGTCAGGGGAGGATGGGGGGACCCCAGGAAGTCAGGGAGGATGGGGAGTCCCTAGGAGGGCAGGGGAGCATGGGGGGCCCCTCGGAAGGTATGCATTCCAGAACCCGCCTGGCCCAGGAGCTCTGCACTGGGGGGCCCCAGGCGCCCTGCTGGGGTCAAGGAGGATCACGCTAGGTGGGGGGGGGGTCACCCCAGACTCTGTCCCATGTCCTGGTGGTGGGTCTTGTCACAGGGATAGAGATGGAGATCGTGAACAGCTGTGAGGCTGACAACGGTGGCTGCTCCCACGGCTGCAGCCACAGCAGCACGGGGCCCCTCTGCACCTGCCCCCGCGGCTACGAGCTGGACCAGGACCAGAAGACATGTATTGGTGCGAACCAGGTCCTTCCAGAGCACCCCATCCCCCCCAAACCAGGGACCTGCTGCCGTCCCGAGTCTGCGCATTGGTTTGATGCCGTGAAGCGGACGCCCCCAGTCCTGCTCTCTCTGCCCTGGGCCAGGGGTGTGGTCCAAGGGTGGGCCTGGTGAGAGGCAGCATCATGGCCGCTGGCCCCATTGGCCCATCAGTGTCGCCGCCTCCGGCTCTGCTTGGTCACTTGGTTAAATCCCCACGTGCTGGGAGAGGTGCCCAAAACGCTTGGTGTGCGAGGGTTCTCTCTTCACGGGGAGACCCTGCCTCCAAGATGCACCCCACACACCCTCCAGCCCTGGTTTGGCCCCCACAGCAGGCGGGGTGGCCCTGGGGCTGTGACGTGCGTCCTCTGTGTGTCTGTGTGCAGGACCAGGAATGTATGTGGGTGTGTGTGTGATCGTGTGTGTGTACATGCACTCGTGTGTGGGTGTGCATGAGATTGTGTGCAGGTGTGCATGCATTGGTGGGCGTGGGAGGGGCGTTCGTGCAGGTGGGCGCCTGGGTGCCAGCTGGGCTCGGGTGTGTACCCCGCAGATGTGGATGACTGTGCCGACTCACCGTGCTGCCAGCAGATTTGCACCAACAGCCCTGGTGGGTACGAATGTAGCTGCTATGCTGGCTACCGGCTCGGTACCGACGGCTGCAGGTGCGAGGGTGAGTGCCGGCCGGCCGCTGGGCAGCTGGGGTGGCCAGGAAAGTGGGGCCACCCTAAGGAGGGACACGGGGTTGCTTCTGGCGCCTCTCTTGCTCCACCTCTGGGCATTACTTGAGCGCCTGCTGTCTGCAGGGTGTGCAGTCCTGCCCGCTCCCTCCCCGACCTGTGGTCACTGGTTGCTCTCACGGGGTTGGCCTGCACCCCTGGCTGCCCCTAGCCTGGCCTCCCTCGGACAGGGCGTCCACTGTCACTCTGACCCTGGGGATGGGAGGATGGCTGCAGCGTGGGCGTCACCCAGCAGGCATGTCCACCAGGCCTCAGTCCGGCGGGCAGAGCGGGGCCGGAGGGGCCTCCCGAGTCCCCGACCCCCAGAGGACAGGCTGCAGCAGCCCTGCATTTGCCCGCAGATGTGGATGAGTGTGCCTCCGGCCGCGGCGGCTGTGAGCATCACTGCACCAACCTGGCCGGCTCCTTCCAGTGCTCCTGCGAGGCCGGCTACTGGCTAGATGAGGACCGCAGGGGCTGCACTCGTGAGTCTCTGCCCGTCACCGCCTGTCCCCGGCTCCCCGGAGCCCCGTGCCCCCTGCCTTCCTGGCACCTGCTCCCAGTGCCCCTGCACCCACCTTCCGGGCTGTGTGGACCCCATCTCAGTGGGACAGGTGGGGGGCAGCAGGGTGGGGGAAAGGGGCTGGCCAGATAGGTGTCCCCAGGGCAGAGTGTTACTCAGGGTCCTGGGTGGTCCAGCTTCTGCTCTGCCTAGAAGAGAGAAGGGTCATCGTCCCTGGGACTGAGGACAGCGTCCAGAGGGGCAGAGAGCTGCTCTTGCCCCCCACCTCCCCTCCATGTTCAGGGTCCCTAGGGTCGGGGTGGGAGCTGGGACAGTTGGGGTGGACATGGCATGGGTCAGGTCCACAGGGCCCGGAGCCTTCTCTGTCCTGAGAATTAGGGTCAGGAGTACAGCTGGGACGACCCCTGGTGACCAGGGTGAGGAGAGGTGGCGGGGGCTGTGGGTGGGTCCGTGGGGTGGGGCTCAGATCCTGAGCTGCCTGTGGGCAGTCCCGGGGAGGGCAGGTGAGCAGCAGGGGCTAAGCGGTCTCTGTACCCTCACCCAGCCCTGGAGCTACCCGAGGTGGACCTGGAGGGCCAGCTGCCCTTTGTGCGGCGCCCCCCGCACATCACGGAGCTCCGGGACGAGCTGCCCCACCTCTTCCAAGATGACTACGTGGCGGCCGAGGAGGAGGAGGCAGAGGCCCGGGGCGAACACACTCTGACGGAGAAGTTTGGTGAGAGGTGGGCCCAGCTCTGGGGCTTCTGCTCTCCGGGACGGCAGCCAGCGCCCCCTCGGGCCAGGCTGCTCCCCTCCCTGAAGTCTTGGGCATGAGGAAGGACCTCTGCTTGTTTGACCAAGGCTCAGAGAAGTCGAGCCGGTTACTTAGTTTGCACAGCACGTCCAGAGCTGAGCCTGGGCTGGACCAGGCCCCAGGCTCCCGTTTAGAGCCCTTCCAGGCCCCGGCATCTGGCTCCCACATCCTACCTTGCCCGCTTGGGGCCTTCATGGGCTGAGGACATCCCCTGTGCCCCCTTCTCTGGCCTGAGGTGCTGAGCCAGCCTTTGTGCACCCGAGCCCTGGCGGAGTTGAGGGCAAGGGTCTGGCTCTGAGGCCCCTTTCCTGGTCTGCCCTCCAGTCTGCCTGGATGACTCCTTTGGCCAAGACTGCAGCTTGACCTGCGACGACTGCAGGAACGGAGGGACCTGCCTCCCGGGCCTGGACGGCTGCGACTGCCCCGAGGGCTGGACCGGGCTTGTCTGCAATGAGAGTGAGGCTGCTGTGGGGTGGCAGGGGGCCGTGAGCCCCAGACCTGCCAGGAGCCCGTTGTTTTGCTCCCCCCGCTAGCCCTGGGCAAGGCGCCGCGTGGGCACATCCCTTCACTCATTCATTCACTCATTCGTTCAGTGTCTGCTGACTGCCCGCTCTGTGCAGGCCCAGTTCTAGGCACTGGGAGACTCCGGGAACTGGGGAGCCAGGGCTCTGCCTCTCACAGATGTCACAGTCAACGGGTCCAGTGATAAGCAAGCCGACAACTCACTGAGACCATAGAGGGGGTCGTCAGAGTGGCTGGTGGGTGGGCTGGTTGTGCCCGTGTTCTGGGTGGGGCAGCCACTTCCCCGGACCACATGGTATTGGTAGCTGAAACGCATTGGAAAATTGCTCTCCCAGCTTCGGTCCAGAGCCTGTTGCACTCCCTGCTTAATGACCCCAGACCAGGGATGTCACTGGCAGTTTGGTCTCAAGAGCCGTAGTGACCATCTCTGCCTGTTGGAAGTGCTCGTTGAGAAGGTGGATGTGTTGGAGTGCAGAGGGAGGATGTGGTGATTGATTAGTGATGTCTGCTGTGTGCGTAGTAGGGGCACGGGCACGATGCCATCGGTTGTTGCTCTGGGCAGTTGCTTTTGACCTGGGAGGCTCACACTCCTGGTGTCTCTGTCCTTGAAGGGGCTTCTGGGCCTAGAGTCCTTTTGCGGGCCGGTGACCCTCTTGCTTTCCTGTCATCCCCTGCAGCCTGTCCTCCAGACACCTTCGGCAAGAACTGCAGCTTCTCCTGCAACTGTCAGAACGGTGGCACCTGCGACCCCATGACGGGGGCCTGCCGCTGCCCTCCGGGTGTCAGCGGAGCCCACTGTGAGGATGGTGGGTGCAGCCCCTCCTGTGCCTCTGGGATTGTCTCTGGGGGGGAGGGGACAGGGGGCACCAGCTCTCAGCCCCCTCCCGGCTTCTCCTAGTGCCTTCCTTCCATGGGAGTGGGGAGAGGTACACAGGTGAGGCCCTTTAGGAGAGGCATGGAGTGTTCATTGTTTGCTAATTTTCCCGGGACCTAACTATAGCAGTGGAGGTCTAGTGGTTAGGATTCGGGGCTCTCACCTTGTGGCCCAAGTTCGTTTCCTGGTCAGGGAACCACACCATGCCCCTGTCAGTTGTCACAGTGTGGCAGCTGCCTGTTGCTGTGATGCTGAAAACTCTGCTACCCAGATTTCAAATACCAGCAGGGTCACCTATGGTGGACAGGTTTCAGCAGAGCTTCTAGACCAAGATAGACCAGGAAGAAGGACCTGGCCACCCACTTCTAAAAACTGGCCATGAAAACCTTGTGAATAGCAGAGCATTGTTTGGTAGAGTGCCGGACGGTGAAAGGATGGCCCAAAAAGACTGGGCAGGGCTCCACTCTGCTGTCCATGGGGCACTAGGAGTCGGAATTGACTCGATGGCGCTAACAACAAAACTATAGCAATGGTGAAGACTTGACAGAAGAATAGTACTATTGGAATGGGTTCCTCGGGAGGTAGTGAGCTCCCCATTCCTGAAAGCATTCAAGTAGAGCTGCATGATGTCTGGGTGGGATTTGCAGAAGGGATACACCTTCTGCAAAGGTGTATTTGGATGCAGCCCGTGGCTGCATGGGACGACACTAACGTCCTTTCTAACTCTGAAGTTTCAGCGTTTCTGGAGGAATTAGAGAGTCCACATAGTTTCCCAGGTGACTAATGCTTCATCTTTAAGTCTTCAGACCATTACAATCCTGCCTCTTTTGCTGGAGAATGTAGCTAAACTTATCAAGAACTTACTGCCTTAGCATGTGGATGGTAGCAATCAATGGAACCCACCCCCCGTGCCTTGGGGTGGTCCGTGTGAGCTCTACAGGGCAGGTTTCGAAGTCCCAGGTCCAGTCCTCCCTCTGGTCAGCCTGCTCGGCTCGGTCAGCATCCCTGCCTCTCTTCAATCTGCCATTCCTGTTGTGCTGAGGGCTGAGAAACCCACTGCCTGTTAGGAGCTGTGTGGGTGACCGGCCCTGAACGGACCCTAGGGACTCCTGGCAGATCAAGGGCCTGCATTTTAGTGCTTCTGCTTGTGACGTGGTGTGGCTTCCGGAGACCTGGGTCTCAGTTGGGGACCTGTGGGTACAGTGTACCTGTGCAGCTAAGCTTGAGGAGGTTAGTCCCAAGAGAGGCCTGGCAGGCCAGTTTTCAGGTGTGTGAGGGTTCCTCGGGCCCCTGTGTGAGTTTCCTAGACTCCAGGCATCCTGGGCTGGTGGCCACATCCCCCAGTCTCTGCCTCCATCTTCCCATGGCCTCCTCCTCTTCCTGTCTCCAGCCTCCATCTCCTTTCTCTTCTAAGGACACGTGTGGCATAATCCAGGATGGTCTGACCAGATCTTGGGGATTAGGACATGGACATACCCTGCCCTTCAGTAGGCAGGACTGGGGCAGGACCGGGCCAGAGGGAGGCGTTTCAAGAAGGAAAGCCAGAAGGCCTTTCCAACCCTGGGCCCCTGACCTCAGGCTGGGACCCTGGCCAGTTGAGGCTGTGTGTCCTACCCTCTTTGAGGTCCGGAGGTTGGGCTAGGTGACCACCGAGGGACAGAAGTTGGGATGCTGTAGGTGCGGGTCAGACGCAGGTGATCGGATGAGGTCTTTGTGCATCTGCCACATGTGTGCTGAGGATGTGCTTGGCCTCCTGCCCTGGCCAACGTCCAGGCCACAGACCCTGGGGGGAACAGGCCAGCCAGGGTGGACGGTCACATCCATGGGGCTTGTCTTGTGCCTGCCGTGCCCTTGTGGTGCCTTGCCTACCCCCTGGGCCCCTCCCTGTCTGGGGTGCAGAGGCCCAGGCCACTCCTGGCTCATGTGCTGGGGCCCCTTGGAGCGTCTCCTGGGACGTGGGGGCTGTATCTGGGGGACGTTCAGGAGGCCCCACCTTCCTACAGGCTGCCCCAAGGGCTTCTACGGCAAGCACTGCCGCAAAAAGTGCCACTGCGCCAACCGAGGCCGGTGCCACCGCGTCTATGGGGCCTGCCTCTGTGACCCGGGGCTCTATGGCCGCTTCTGCCACCTGGGTGAGTCCTGCTGCCCACTGACTGCCCATGTCCGGGGGGTTGGGGGGCAGCCTGTAGTATAGCCAAGCACTCACCCTGTGCCTTCCTGCCCACGGTCTGGCCTGGGGTTGACTCTTCACCCTTTGGAGACAAAAACACAGGGGGGCTCAGCGAGGTTCCTGGCTGGGACGTGGGGTCCACCCCAGGTCTCTGGACTCAAAGGCACGTCCTCTGGACTGCTTTGACCTCTAGGGCATCTGGGTGGGCGGTCCCCAGCCTTGTGGTGCCTCCCAGCCCCCAACCGGGCTGGTGGGTGGGCTGCAGGTGTGGGCAGGGGCAGGCATCCTGTGTAAGCTCCCAGAGCACAGGGCTTGTCTTGGTTTTGGAGTTTCCTGGCAGCAAGGGCGAGTCCTGAGCCCCAGTGGGTCCCCCCTCCGTGGGGTCCACAGACAGCCCAGGAGGGGAGGGGCGATGGGCTGGTGGAGAAAAGGTGAGTGATGAGGGGTAGACTTCATCCCAGCAGCTCTGCAGCACTTCGTAAAAGGATTATTTCGAGGAGAGACCCAGATCCCGAGAGTTTCCCGGCTGGGAAGTGGCGGGCTCCAGGGCAAATTCCTGACTTCACTGAGACCCTGTTTCTCATCTGTAAGCGGGGCACAGCGGTCCCGGTCCTCTGGGCACCAGTGGCTGGGGGACAGTGCTAGCTCTGTGCCGGGTCCTGGGGACACAGCTCAGTAAGCAGGGGCTGGAGAGGGGAGGGGCCGGTGCTCAGGTAGACAGGCCCCTCATGGTTCTGTGGGTGCAGCCTGCCCGCCATGGGCATTCGGGCCGGGCTGCTCGGAGGAGTGCCGATGTGAACAGCGGAACACACGTGCCTGCGACAGAAGGGACGGCAGCTGTTCCTGCAAGGCCGGCTTCAGGGGCGAGCGATGCCAGGACGGTGAGTGCAGGGGCACGGGGGGAGGGCTCCGGGGCTGGCTGAACCCTGCAGGGTCTCTTCTCCTCGCCCCCTGCAGAGTGCGAGCCGGGCTTCTTTGGGCTGGGGTGCCGGCAGATGTGCGCCTGCCCTCCGGGTGCAGCCTGTGACCCCGTCAGCGGCGAGTGTGGGAAGCAGTGTCCTGCTGGCTACCAAGGGAAGGCCTGTGACCAAGGTGAGTGGCCAGCCCTGGTGCCCAGGGTCTGGGTGGTGTGCAGGTCGTTCACCCTGGGCTCTGGACACCAGAAACTGAGTCAGCCCTGCAGTCTGGCCTGGGCGGCACCTTTACCAGCTGTGTCCCTGTCCTGTACCAGCAGTGACAAGGCCACTGGTCTGCCCGTGGCTGTGCGGCCGAGAGGGCTGCTCAGGCAGGAGCTGGTGTGTATGCCCAGAAAAGGGGTGGATGCCTCTCCAGAATCATTCACTCACTCCCTCTCTCACTCATTCCATGGGAACATACTGAGCCTGGTTGTGCTGAAGCTGGCTGCAGGAGCTCCTTCCTGACGGACTGAGCAAGCCATCAGAGGCGGCTGCTCCTGGGGGTGGTGGCTCAGAGCGAAGTCTGGGCTGGAGGTGCCAGCATGGGGTGTGGGACATGATGGAAGGCCCTCCATGTGGATGCCAAGGCCTGGGGACGCACACAGTGGTGGGTGAGGCTGGAACCTGGGGACCCCACGTTCGCGTGTTGTGGGCAGATGGAGGGGAAGAGCCCTCAGCATGAGTAACGGGGCTGTGCGGCCCCTGCTGACAGGGCACGGCAGGTTGGACCTCCCTTGGTACGCGGCGCACACAGTGTCCATGTCCATCGGCCAGAGCAGTGGGAGCCATGGGGGTCTAGTCTAGGGTGTCACTGCATGGGGCGACCCCCAGCCCAAGCTGAGGGGTCAGTCTCCCTCTGCACCCAGGCCAGGTCCCTCCCATGTCGTGGTCCCAGAGACCGCAGGGATGATGCCATCGAGGGCTCTCAGGTCCCGTTGGTGCAGGAGGGGTGTGTGTAGGGCTCAGAACCCAGCCTGACCCTCCCACCCCCACCCCCACCCCAATCTGCATGAGGCCCTCTGGGGGCTCGGCCACCATCAACAACGCCAAGCGTCTCTTTTCCGTAACGATCATGCCGACTCGATGTGGGCTGCGTCTCCTGACTCTTCTCTTTCCCCGCCTCCCCCACTGCATGTGCGCGCGCACACACAAACACACGTGCCACTTGCCCTTCCGCGACGCCTGCTACCCTCCATTCCCGCCCCCCTGCACACCGAGGGGCCTCTCGGGAGAAGAGCCGCCATCTCGCCCGCCCTACCCGGTCTGTTTGCTGAGACGTGGAGGGGCCTTCACCCCAACCCTTCCCTGCTGGTTTTCTTATTCTTTCTTTTCATTTTTCCTTTAAAAGCCTCCAGTGCCCTAAGGATGAGCCACAGGAAATGGCACATTTTTATAGAAGTGTTGTTAGGTCTGGAAAGTGTTACCGCCCCAAATGGACATCTGCCCCCAATTAGTGGAGAGGGGGCTTTCCGAGGCCAGGTGGAGCACCTCCAACTGGCGTTGCAGGGCCTCTCTTTCCCTGGTCCATATTACGTGGGTGCTATCTGTGCTCCTAGCGCGTGCACCTGTGCTGCGCCCGGGCACCTGGCGCATGCACCTGCCTGTGCTGCGCAACCTGTCCTGTTGATGTGCCTGTGCCCCGGGGTGGGATGTGGGTGGGTGCCCGTGGGGTATGGGTCCTCATGACAAGGGTTCACTGGGGTGTGTCCTTTGTCCCCAAATCCCCCTCTCAGGGCTCCAGAAGGCCCCAGGCCTGGGGCTCTGCCCCATCCAGCTGACACTCCTCCTGAGGCAGGACACGTCCTCAGCTCCCAGCTCCCCCCAAGTGGGGTGTTCTGATCAGTGGGCTCTGATCATTCAGGCGTGGAGCGTGGGCCCGCAGCCCGTCCCTTCTGGGTGCTGTGCATGCCTTCGTGGGCCTGGGAGAACTTTCCTTCCAGCAGCCTCAGTGTGGGCCGCATGGCGCTGGGGCAAGCAGGGGCCTTCTCCATCCCCGGGGCTTCCTGTCCAGCAGGGCAGGCGTGGGGAGTATGGAGGGGGCTCAGGGGCTTCAGGCGCCTGGGGTTCTGCAAGGCCACTGGAGCAGCCACTGCAGGCCCTCTTGGGGTGGGGCAAGGCTCCACGGCACCTACATTCTTTCTTGGGGCCCTGCCCCATGCCACTGTTCCCGGGACACTGTCACTCCTTGGCAGTGGGGAGGACACTGCGGTGACCAGTGGGGGGTTCTCTGGGCCAACCAGGGTGGGAGGAAGGAGGGCAGAGCCACCCTGCCACCTGCTGCCGGGCGCTCTCTAGGGTCCTGGATGCCTGAGATCCTGCTTCAGCCTCGCCCTTGCCCTCTGCTGCCCCCTGCCCAGCCTGCCCCTGGATCCTGTCTGTCTGTGCCCTCTGGGCTGCCCTTCACTGCTCCCCCGTGCGTGGTCAGCCCAGGCACTGGCTGCTGGCCAAGCACAGGTCAGCCACCCTGCCCCGGGTCCCCTGTCCCCTGCCTGCTCCTGTGACATCCCTGGTTATCCACACCGTCGGTGTCCAGCAACCCCGCTGGGGCCGGGGGCAGGTGCCAGGGGCCCCGAGGGAAGGAGGGCAGCTCCTCGTGGGGGTGGTTGAGGCCCTTCCTGCTCCCTCCTGCAGAGTGCCCAGAGGGGACGTTCGGTGTGAACTGCTCGGGCTCCTGCTCCTGTGGGGGCGCCTCCTGCCACCGGATCACGGGGCAGTGCCAGTGCCCTCCTGGGAGGACCGGGGACGACTGTGGGGCAGGTGAGTGACAGCCGTGTTCTGAGGTCCCCCCTCACCTTCTTGTGGCATGGGACCCCAGCCCTGGGCCGTGTTTGGGGAGCCCGACAGACCCCAGACCCATCCATAGCAGCTACGAGAGCCCACGCTGAACCACCCTTGGGTCTCGGAGTGGGGTCTGCGGCTGCCCTGGGTGGCCATGCTCATAGAGGGGCCCACTAGGAAGTGGGGACAGGTCAGCCAGCAGAGGACCCAGTGGTCCCTCAGCCTGCTGGTCACCCTCCTGGCTACCTGTTCACTGCATGGGGTGTCCTGGCCCTTCTCCTGGGCCCCCGTCTGCCTGTTGAGCCGTCCTGGGGCAGGAGCTCCTCCTCCCGGGGTGGGCACGCTGCAGCCTGCAGCCTGAGGAGGGGCCGGGCGTTCCGATGGCCTGTTCCTGTTCCTCCCCTGGCCTGGCTCAGATGGGAACAGTGGTTCCCACTCCTGGGCTGTGACATGGGGGGTCAGTGCCGTGCCACACAGGGAGACTGACTGGCCGTGGGGGCTAGATTGTCCCGAGGGCCGCTGGGGGCTTGGCTGCCAGGAGATCTGCCCGGCGTGTGAGCACGGGGCCACTTGTGAGCCTGAGACCGGAGCCTGCCTCTGCCTCCCTGGCTACACGGGCAGCCGCTGCCAGGACGGTGAGTGCCGCACCGCCCTGCCTCGGCCCCCGTCTGTGATCCCGGGCTGGCGGGCAGTGCCCGGCCCCACCATGCTCACCCGCCCTCTGCCCACAGCCTGCCCAGCAGGCTGGTTTGGGCCCGGCTGCCAGATGAGGTGCTCCTGTGCCAATGATGGACACTGCCACCCGGCAACCGGACGTTGCAGCTGTGCCCCTGGGTGGACCGGCCTCAGCTGCCAGAGAGGTAGGTGGCCCTTTGTCCGAGCATCCCTCCCATCTCCAGAAAAGGCTCCACCCCGGCCCCGGGACACTGGGGGCCAGCAGGAGGCCCCGTCCCCTCGACCTAGCTGTGGTGCCCGTGGGCTCCTCTGGGCCCGCACAGGGTGACCCGGGGTCTGTTGCAGCCTGTGACAGCGGGTACTGGGGACCTGACTGCAGCCACACCTGCAACTGCAGCACAGGCCACGGGAGCTGCGATGCCGCCAGCGGCCTGTGCCTGTGCGAGGCCGGCTACACGGGCCCCCGGTGCGAGCAGCGTGAGTCCTGGCCTGGCCCACAGCCGTGCCCCGTGTGTACACGCACGTGCACGCACACAGGCGCGTGTGCACACACACGTGCACACACGCATGCACGTGTTGGGGGACCTGGTCCTGCCCTCCTGTTCCCCAGACAAGCAGGGGTCTCCTCCCCTGCGCTCACCTCGCTCTCCCTCCCCAGCCTGGGCCAGGCCCCTCCCTCCTACCTATCTGGGCCTGACATAAGGCCCGCCTGGAGCAGCAGGCAGGGCAAGGTGGGGCCAGTCATACCTCTCAGGGCACCTGGCACTTGGAGGAGGGGAGGAGGGAGGCCGCTGAGCACTGAGGGCCTTGCCCTTCCGTGTGTGGTCCCTCCATGGCCAGGTTGTTGGGTCCGGGCCAGGCCTGGGGCAGGTCGTCCTAGAGGCAGTCCCCAAAGTCACGCCTGGGGCTCCTGCCTCCCTTGGGGCTCAGTTCCTAGCTGGGCGGGGTGGGGGGTAGGGGCATGTGGGTGAGCCCAGCCCTCCTTGGGTAGGGAAGGGCTTCTCCGTGAGCCAGCTCCTACCCCACAATCCCAGGCCTCGTGTGATATGGCAGGGGCCCGGGCAGGACGGGGTCAGGCTCACTACCCCCCAACTGATGGTGGGCCGGGGCTGCGTGTCTCAGAGTGTCCCCAGGGCCACTTCGGGCCAGGCTGTGGGCGGCGGTGCCAGTGTGAGCATGGGGCAGCCTGTGACCACGTCAGTGGGGCGTGCACCTGCCCAGCCGGCTGGAGGGGAACCTTCTGCGAGCACGGTGAGCCAGGGTATGGGCCAGGGCAGGCTAGGGTGGCCGGAGTGCGGGCAGGGTCCTGTGACCCCTGGCCGTGTCCCCATCACGCTCCTGCCTGCAGCTTGCCCGGCCGGCTTCTTTGGCATGGACTGCCGCAGTGCCTGCAACTGCACCGCGGGAGTGCCTTGCGACGCCGTGAACGGCTCCTGCCTCTGCCCGGCCGGCCGCCGGGGCCCCCGCTGCGCCCAGAGTGCGTGGGGCCGCGTCAGCCCTGGGGGCTGCGGGTGGGGGGACCTGTCCACTGTGCCAGACTCTCTCCTGGGGCCCCGTCCTGGGTGTCCGAAGCTGCCAGGTGGCCACCCCAGGTGGCTTTGCCCCAGAGGCCCAGTATATTGGTCCCTGTCTATGGTTGCCCTGAGTGTGTCCAGGCCAGAGGGAGGGGAAGATCGACCACAGCAGCCCAGGGGCATCTACCCAGCGGCCCAGATCTGCTGCAGACCCTCCCCGGGTGTGTCCCCCCAGGCCCCTGACGGCCCCTCTCCCCTGCAGCTTGCCCGGCCCACACCTACGGGTACAACTGCAGCCGGGCCTGCTCCTGCTTTAACGGGGCCTCCTGTGACCCTGTCCATGGGCACTGCCACTGTGGCCCTGGCTGGACAGGCCCCACCTGCCTGCAGGGTAAGCCTTGCCCAGGAGGGTCTCCTGCTCCCACGCAGGAGTCCAGGGCCAGGGACCGTGCTCGCCGCTCGCTGGGCTGTGCAGGGTCACATGCACATAGGATGCTGGGTGGACATAAGGTTACCGGGGGGCCATGGGCAGGGAAGGCTGGGGTCACACACCCGTGGGGCACCCAGGGGAGGGGAGGAAGATGGCTGCTTGGGACCCAGGGCCACAGCCTTCAGCGCTGAGCCCCGTAAGGGTGGGCTGGTGGGCCCGGGGTGGCCTGGGGCAGGTCATTTTAGGAACAGCCCTGGGCGAGGTCCCCATCCCCAGTCTGATGTTGGCTTGGGGTGGGCTGGAAAGCCTGCAGGTCCCCGTGGCTGGCCCTCCTGGGGGAAGGGAGGGTACAGGCCCCAGTGGGCCTGGCCGGCAGCACACTGCAAGTTGTTCCCCTCTACATCCCCCAGCCTGCCCCGCGGGCCTGTATGGCAAGGACTGTCAGCATTCCTGCCTCTGCCAAAACGGGGGCACCTGTGACCCTGTCTCAGGCCACTGCACCTGCCCAGAGGGCTGGGCTGGCCTGGCCTGTGAAAAGGGTGAGCCCTTCGCAGGCAGAGGAGGGAGGAGGGACCCTGGGGTCTGTGGGAGCCAGGGCCGGCACCTCAACGTGCCGTAGCACAGCGCCCTCCATCTATGGCCAATGACTGCTCCCTGGTTGTGGGGGGACAGTGTCCTGAGGTGTGGCCGCGGGCCTGTAGTGTGACCAGCCCCCGGGCACCCTCCTTCCCAAGGACGCAGCATCTGGGGCTCTGGGTGCAGGAAGCATGGGTGGGGCGGGGTTCTCTTGGGTCCCAGGGGCACAGCCCTGCTCCAGGAGGTGGGACCCTCACCCGTGCCCGCCCCTGCAGAGTGCCTCCCGGGGCGCTTTGGAGCCGACTGCCAGCACAGCTGCGGATGCCTCAATGGTGGCCTCTGTGACCGGCACGTGGGCCACTGCATCTGCCCGGCCGGCTGGACTGGGGACAAGTGCCAGAGCCGTGAGTGGGGCGGGTTAGGGACCAGTGCAGGGAGGCCAGGCGGCCCCACTGGGCCCGTCAGGGGTGACCTCAGCCTCGATCCAGGTGTGGGGGCCTCACCGAGGCGGTCCTTGGTAGGTAGGAGATGGGGCTGCTCTCTGAGCTGCCAGGGTCCCCTGCAGGGGTCTGGACCCAGGAGGCTGGCCTGAGGGGTGGGGTGCGTTTGGCCTGGCCCAGCCCCCTGGAGCAGGACGCAGCCTTCTGCCTGTCTCATCCCCCAGCCTGTGCCGAGGGCACATATGGGGCTGGCTGTGAGGAGCGCTGTGCCTGCCGGCGGGGAGCCACCTGCCACCACGTCATGGGGTCCTGCCTCTGTCCCCCAGGATGGAGGGGCTCACGGTGCGAGAATGGTGAGCTCCCCAGCTCCGCCAGCACCCGGGGAACCACCTGCCTGGGAGGGGGTGGGTCCTTTACCCAGTGACCCCTCCGGGCTTGCGCTGGCCCCAGGGCTCCTGCCACCCCAGCCCACGCCTTCCTGCAGCCTGCCCGCCTGGCTGGTTTGGAGAGGCCTGTGCCCAGCACTGCCAGTGCCCACCTGGTGCTGCCTGCCACCATGTCACTGGGGAGTGTCGCTGTCCCCCAGGCTTCACCGGGCCCGGCTGTGAGCAGGGTAGGTGACCGAATGGGGTGGACCCTGGGGCAGTGGGTGGCTCAGCCCCTCCTGATGCAGCCTGAAGCTCAGGCCACATGTACCCCTGAGCTCTGCCTCAAAACCTCGTGCAAGGGCGGCCTCAGGGAGCGACTCCAGGGAGGATGCCCGTTCCCGGGCTGGGCCAGGACTGACCCCCCACCTGTACCTCAGCCTGCCCGCCCGACACCTTTGGGGAGAGCTGTGGGCAGAAGTGCCAGTGTCCCGGCGAGAACCAGGCCTGCCACCCGGCCTCGGGGGCCTGCGTGTGCGCTGCCGGCTTCCACAGCGCCGGCTGCCGGCTACGTGAGTGCTGCCCGTGCCGCCTGCCAGGCCGACCTGGGAAGGCGTTCAGCTGAGGGTGTGAGGGGGGACCTCAGGGGCTCTGCATGGGGGCAGGGCCCAGCCCCCTGGCAGCTGGCCCCTCCCCCTGCAGGGTGCCCGCCTGGATGGTTCGGGCCGGGCTGTGAGCAGCTGTGTGGGTGTCTCAACGGTGGCTCCTGTGATGCGGCCACAGGGGCCTGCCGCTGCCCCGCTGGGTTCCTCGGGACCGACTGCAGCCTCGGTGAGTGGCCGGGGTGAGGTGGGGCGGCTCTTCCCTGCGCTTCAGTGGGCAGGGCCCCGCCAGCCAGCCTGCCGGGAGGACAGCCCCCTGACCACTCTCCCACTGGGCCTGGTCCCAGGCTGGCTGAGTTGGGGGGTGCTGGTGTGACCCCAGTGTCCCTGCCCGCCAGCTCTGCCCGGCTGTGTGCTGTGCCCCCTCACCGGGTTGTGCCCACCAGGGGCTTGTGCACTGCAGTGCAGGCCAGCCAGGCGTCCTGCCAGGAGGAGGGCCTTTCCCTGAGTCGTGGGACTTTCTGCCCGTCTGGGATGTTGGCTGGGCTGGCAGGGAGGGGTGAAGGCTGCGGTGAGTCACTGTCGCTGCGGAGCAGGCCTGGCCCCCAGCAGAGCCTGCGGGTGGAAGGAAGATGCCAGGGTGGGCAGGGGCTGGGGAGCAGGCAGTCTCCACCCTGTCTGGGCCAGACACAGGGGTCCCCCTCCCCGCCTCGTCCTGTCCTGTCTCTGGGTTGACAGGGCAGAGAGAGAAGCCAGCCAGGGGCAGCCACCCCCTTTCTCTCCCGGCAGCTTGTCCCCAGGGCCACTTCGGCCCTGGCTGTGCCCACGTGTGCAAGTGTGGGCAGGGGGCAGCCTGCAACCCCGTGACGGGCGCCTGCACCTGCCCCGCGGGGAGGACCGGCGTCCACTGTGAGCACAGTGAGTGCCCGCGCCGCTGGCTGCCGTCAGCCCTTCGCAGGCGTTGCTCCGTCAGCCCCAGGAGTGGGGGGCGATGGGGGAGAACCGGGCCCCTGGGTGGCACGTTGACATCAACGGCCTCCACTGACTCCCCCAAGTGGCCGGTTGGGGCTGAGCAGGTTCTCACCCAGAACCCCTCTAGCAGGAGGGGTCAAACGGATGTTTCATCTGAGGACCAAGCCAGTCTCTTGGTTGATGTCCCGTTGGTCCTTCTGGCTCTTTCCACTGGGCCCAGGGGCAGGGCCCCGAGGTAGAGGGAGGCGTGGAGCACAGGCCATGGTGGGGACATGGGGTGGCCCCTGGGGACAGTCGTGGGGCTCATGCTCCTGATGGGGAGCATGGGCATGCCCCAAACCTCTTGGCCTGGCCCCCACACCTGGTAGGTCTGAGCCCGCTGCCACCCTCTGGTCACCACAGTCACTTCATCGAGGGGCCAGTGACACCCCCTCCCCGGTTCTCAGTCCGTGGCAGCAAAGGGTCAGAAACCCTGGGAGACCCGGCTGCAGCCAGGCCTTGTCCTCAGCCTCAGGGAAGGACGGCAGCCGTGGGCTCAGTCAGATTACAAACGGGCTGCAGATAAGCCAACCCTGAGTGCACGACTGGCTGGCCTCCTCTCAGCCTGGAGGATGCACTCGTGCAGAGTGCTGCCACCTCCAGGCAGGCTTCCCTGATCCCCTCCTGCTGGCTGGGCAGGCGCTCGCAGCCCCTGGGGGTCCTGGTCCCTTCACCCTGAGTTAGCCTCAGCGCCAGGTCAGGCCTGGCATTTGCTGACAGAGGATGGATGAATGGGCAGGACACAGTTGGTGTCACTCCCTGGCACGTGTGTGCCCTAGGGGCAGAGACCATCCCCAAGAGGCTCCCGGAAGCGTTTGTTGAGTGAATGTCAGACCTGGTGAGATGTGTCCCTGGAGAGTATCCAGCCCTGGGCCAGAGCTCCAAGCAGCGTCCACCTTCTGCCCCCAGGCTGTCCCCAGAACCGGTTTGGAGTGGGCTGTGAGCACGTGTGTTCCTGCAGAAATGGGGGTCTATGCCATGCCACCAACGGCAGCTGCTCCTGCGGCCTGGGCTGGATGGGGCCGCGCTGTGAACTGGGTGAGTGTCTGGGCCAGCCTGGAGGGCCGTGTCCCTGTGCGAGCTGGAGGGTCAGCAGCTGCACAGGACGGAGGGATGTGCCCCACTGGTGGGGGGGCCATGGCGGCTTGGTGGGCCCTGGGCTGCCGTGGGGCTGAGCGAGGCTCCAGGGTCACCTGAGTCAGGCTAGCACCCGAGGGGCCGCCCTCGTGCCCTGTTCTCTTGCAGGAGGCTGAGCTGGGGCTCTCTCCCCAGCCTGCCCCCCCGGGCACTACGGCGCCGCCTGCCGCCTGGAGTGCTCCTGCCGCAACAATGGCACCTGTGAGCCCACCACGGGTGCCTGCCGCTGCGGTCCCGGCTTCTACGGCCAGGCCTGCGAGCACAGTGAGTCGTGGGCTTGGGACCTTTGCCCCGCGTCCGCTCCTCCCACGCGGGGGATCCGGGCCCACCTCGGCTCCACCACAGTGACAGCCACTTTCCGTGTCACTCCCACGGGGACCCCATGAGACGAGGCTTGACCCCAGCTCACAGTGGGGCTCCGAGGCCACAGGTCCCTGGCTCAGGGTCACAGGGGAGCAGACAGAGCTCCCACCTGAGCCCCAGCTGTGACGGGGGAGCTGGGCCTGGGCAGGAGGAATGGGGAGCTGGGGCCCCTGAACCTCGCCCTTTGCTCACTCTGGGCAAACTGAGGCGGGAGCTCTAACCCGGGTCTCCCTCAGCCTGTCCCCCCGGCTTCCACGGGGCTGGCTGCCGGGGGGCGTGCAGGTGTCAGCATGGAGCCCCTTGCCACCCCGTCAGTGGCCAATGCCTCTGCCCCGCCGGCCTCCATGGCCAGTTCTGCGAGAGGGGTGAGTGTTCCGTGCCCCCATGTGCTCCCCCCGACCCCTCTCCCTGGCCCTGTCCAGTCCGGATGAGGCACAGGAAGAGACACTGAGCCCACTGCCCCCCACCAGGGTGTGAGCCTGGCTCATTCGGAGAGGGCTGCCGCCAGCAGTGTGACTGTGAGGGTGGGGTGCCCTGTGACCCCGTCACTGGCCAGTGCCTTTGCCCCCCGGGGCGCATGGGGACCACCTGTGACCTTGGTGAGTCTGGGGTCCTGCTCAGGGGGACACAGGTGTGGGTCTCCGTCAGTGGCAAGTATCCATTGCATTGGTTGAGCCCCGGTCTGGGCACAGTGCCCCCATGTGCCTGTTCCCCCTCTGCAGGGGTAGCTGCTCGGAGGGGGGCCCAGCATGGAGCTCCCACTCGGGGTTAATCAGGGCCATGCCCTGCCCTCTGTCTGCCCACAGAATCCCTGGGGTGGCCTCTTGCTGGGGTGGGTTCTGCAGTCATAGGAAGAGGCCCTACTCAGGTGGGAAGGAGACCTCTGTGATCTGCCAGCCTGCCCAGGAATAGGAGGGGCCATCCTGCGCGGACTGCACACACGTCCTGCCCATCTTGCCCTGGGAAAGGACATCCCTGAACTCCGGGCCCCCCTTTGCCAGCCCCGGGGTTGGGCAGGAATGTGGGGCATGATCCTGGGCAGGTGCCCGGTGCCTGATGCTTTCCCACATGAGAGCTCACACAGGGCCGGGAAATAGGCTCGAGGTCTTGGCTCCCGAAAGCCCCCACCAGGAGGGTGGCTTGAAGGCCTGGGTTCCCTGACCGGGGCAGACAGGACTAGCACTCAGGTGTGTCTCTCCGACCCCTCCCGCCTGCAGACTGCAGAGGGGGCCTCTTTGGGCCGGGCTGTGCCCTGCGCTGTGACTGCGGGGGTGGAGCTGACTGCGACCCCGTCAGTGGGCAGTGCCACTGTGTGGACGGCTACACAGGGCCCACATGCCAGCAAGGTGAGTCAGGCTCCCAGGGGAGAGAAAGGAGGATACTGTGCCCCCAGTCCCACCCCTGGCCGAGGCCCTGTCTCTCCTACCCATCCCTCCTCCCCACACGCAGAGCTGGCTGGGCCGGGCTAGCCTGTGCTAACGTCACCATCCCCTCATGGTACCCATGGTGTCTGCACGGCTTCCGGTGAGTGAGGTGCGAATGTTACAGCCACTGGACCGTGGGGCAGGGCTCACCCATGCTGCCAGCATGAAGCAGCCCCACTTCTCCAGCCCCAGACAGCAGCAAGGGTGGGCTCAAACTGCAGATGGCCATGACCCCACGGGCAGGGCTGGGTGTTCCATTGTGGGTGGGCACTGACCCAGCCCCCCATCCCACCCCCTCCTTGCCCTGCCTGCACATGGACCAGGGCATGGCGATGTGCCTGTGTGTGTGTGCAGTAGTGTGTGTGTGTGCTCCGTCAGTGCATGCTAACGCCTATGTGTGCCCCACTGTGTGCGCTCCAGTGCATGTATGCTCCAGTGCACACGTGTGCTCCAGTGCGTATATGTGCCCCAGTGCATGTGTGTGCTGCAGTGCATACGTGTGCTCTAGTGCATGTGTGTGTTCCAGTGAGTATATGTGCCCAGTGCATGTGTGTGCTGCAGTGCATACGTGTGCTCCAGTGCGTATGTGCCCCAGTGCATATGTGTGCTCCAGTGCATATATGTGCCCCAGTGCACGTGTGTGCTCCAGTGCGTATATGTGCCCCAGTGCATGTGTGCGCTCCAGTGCATACGTGTGCTCCAATGCATGCATGTATTCCAGTGCATCCATGTGCTCCAGTGCACATGTGTGCTCCAGTGCACGCACGTGCTCCAGTGCATCCATATGCTGCAGTGCACACATGTGCTCCAGTGCATACATGTACTCCAGTGCATACATGTGTTCCAGTGTGTACATGTGCTGCAGTGCACACATGTGGTCACACGCACCCACAGGCATAGTCAGGGAAGCTGCAATGACCGCACCATGGCCTCTCAGCCCCCTGAGGCTCTGGGGAGAATGTGCTGTCAGCAGGCACAGCTCCGGGGTGCCCCTGCTCCTCTGGCCAGCCAGACCCCTCTGGTGTCCCCTGGTCAGCTCCGCAGGCCCAGCCTGCTGTTGGGATGGCCCTGTGCGCACTGGGAGCATCGTGTCTGCAGAGGCCGGCCCTGCAGATGGGATGAAGAGGGAGCTGTGAGCGCAGATTCCAGACTGGGGCCCTCGACTTGGGAGCCCCAAACACAGGCTTGATGTGGTGTATGCATGCATCTTGTTGAGCCTCCAAGGCAGCTGTGGCCCCAAACTGTTAAAAGCCCTTAGGGGAAGGATTCCTCCTCCCACAGTGAGTGGGGTCGGGGAGGTGGAGGCAGAAATTGCAGGGCTGGTGCCTGGGTGGAACCTGGTGGTCAGGTATGGTACTGCCCTGCAGCCCCAGCCCTGGGCAGCCTTGACATTTGGCTGGGGGGTCTGGAGCCAGAGATACACCTGCCGGAGCCACCCCCGACCCCCGACGCTGCCCGAGGAATCTCCTGCGTGAGGCTAGGTGGGAAGGAGGATAAGCAGGGCCTTGCTGTCTCCTGCCCTGGAGTGGACCTGGCTTGACCTCGAGTGAAGCCCTCCCATCCTACCCACAGCCCTGCCTCCCAGTCTTCCGTGCTTCCCAAGCAGGACAGAGCTGGGAGCTTTAATTTGAGAGGGGAGCCCCCCGTGTGCATAGGAGCGGGGGCAGGCTCTGCAGGGTGGGAGTGGGGGTCCCTGCAGGGCTGAGTGGAGGGTCTGATGGTGGGTGCCAAGGGTCCTCGGGCACTAGCGTGAGCTACTGTCTGTTTTCAGGTGGGCCCCCCCAGCTCCCCGAGAGCCCATCCCCAACCCTGGGCCCAGGTAAGGGGGCTGGAGGTACCCCCACATTTCCAGGAGTGTGGCATTGTTGGTGCCAGTGGTCCATTACCAGCAGACTGAGGCCTGAGGAGGGATGGGGACCGGGCACTTATATATCTGGGCCCCACAGGGCAACGGGCGTTCCAGGATCTGGGCCTCCAAGTGAGGCTGGGTGGAAGCTGGGAGGAGCGGGTGGCTGTGTCTCCTCTATCAGGCTGGAGCTGGAAGGGCAGGAGGGGAAGCGTGAAGTGTGAGCCCAGAACTCTGGCACCTGCGAGAGTTTCCCCCCCGCCCCGGGGCTGACTCTCCTTTATCTTGTGCCTGCAGCAGCCTCACACACAGCCTCTCACAGACCAGCGCCTGGGCTCAGGAGCAGGACGGAAAAGCACTAACTCTTAGGCAGCTCACGCTGAGGCCTGCCTCCTGAGGGCCACCAAGGGGACCAGGGGCTTTGATGACGACAAAGGAGGGAAGCCCGTGGGCCAGCACTCCGGCCCTCCCCTTGTCTCTAGGGGCCATGGACAGCCTGCAGCTCTCGCTCTGCAAGGATCATCTGGCCATGAGGAGGGAGACCATGTGTGGTCCAGCTCCACCAAGCCCAGGCGAGTGGACCGGACCTCGGGCCACCCAGCTGCACTGGCTGCACCTCCATGTGTGCTGAGGAAGCCCCGCCCCTCCCACCGCCCTGGGTCGGGACTGAGGGCAGGTGTGGTGCAGGTGCAGGCTTGGGCCCCTGCCCTCCAAGCAGGTTCTTCTGGTGCTAGGCCCTAGGGCTGCTGCAGCTCAGCCTGTTTACCTGCCGTATTTATGTAAAGGTATTTATGGGCACTGGACACGCCCGCTGCGCCCCAGGCGCTGGAAGGCTGCCTGGCTCCTGCTCCACCCCGGGAAGCCCTGACCCTGGACTGTGGGGCCCTGCGGGGCCTCTGGGCGTGGGCTCTGGTACTGTGTGAAACCCAGTCTTTAAGAACGGAGCAGCAGCTTCCTCGTGGTCCGTGCGTTTGCTGCTTTGTGGGGCCCCCACTGTGGCGGCCTCCTGGGCACTGGCATGAGTGTGTTTGGTTAGGAACCTCCCCTGACCAGGGAGGCCGGGCAGGCACCCGGCCCCATTCGGCCTCTGCTCTCCCTGGGGATGGGGGTGCCACACAAAGTTTGAGACTTATCCTGGCGCTCTAGAGGGGCACACAGGGGCTTCCCCAGGCAGAGGTGGACAGACCTGCAAAACAAGCTCACAGCCAGGCGCCCCAAGATGCCCCAAGATGCAGGAAGTGTGGCACCTATGTAGGAAGCTTGACCCCAAGGGGAGGAGGGCCGGCCCAAGGGCAGGGGTGGTGTGGCGGGCAGCCTGGGCACCCCCTCTACCCCCATGCCTGCCCTATCTTCAGGGCAGAAACATGGTGATGGGTGGAGAACATCACAGGGCCGGGTGGCCAGTGGAGAGGGTTGGACCCAGATTGTCACACCACACGCTTAAGGTCTGGGCTGTGGCCCCCTCTCCTCTCCCCTCCAACACCAGCCCAGCTAGATAGCCCCAAGGGCAGAGAATCTCAGAGGGCAAAACAAGGAGGGTTCTAGTAAGCCCCGTCCCCTTAAACGGATGACTAGTGAACGGCCGGTAGCAGAGGAAGCCAGACTGATCGGCCACCGTGTTCAGACTTTGAAGTAAATGTAATAAATATCCCAGCAGGAATAAGAGATGGCTGAGTGGTGATGGGATGCGGGAAGAAGCAGGCAGAGCGGGACCCGTGGTGACGACTGAGTGTGCGGATGCAGAAGTGGGAGCATCAGGGAGTGGGTGGCACGGACACAGAGGAATGATGGGTTTTCCAGCTCAGGACACTGTCCCAGGAGGCAGTGGGGGGCTGAGGGGGAGAGAAACTACAAAAGGAAGTCCACTAGAAATGGGTGAGGGAAGTCTGAACATCCATCCGATTGAAGTCCTAGAAAAAGAAGGAAAACCACTGAAATGAAGCAAACGAACAAGTTCTCAGGTCAAAACGTGGGTGATCTCAGATTGAAAGGACTCAAGTGCAAAAAAAATAAATAAATAAAAGTAAGAAAGCCATAATCTAAAAAACTTGAAGAATATCAGCAGCAAAGAGAAATTCTAAAATGCCCAGAAAAAAAGAATAGGAATCAGAGAGACATCAGACTTTACAACAGAAATGCTCAGGGCAGGAGGACAGTGATGTGCTGTTTTCGGTGTTGAAGGAAAAATCTGAAACTTGAATTTTATGTCCTACTAAACTATCACTAAAAAGCAAGGTCAACGTTCTTCTTGGGTCTCCCAGGCCCCAGTGGGTTACCACACGGAAACTTGATTTGAAAATGTGCTCAGAGGAAGTTCTCAGCAAGAAGAGAAAGAAGCCCAGGAGGGCGCCACGAGATGGTCACTGCATTCCCCACACAGCCCAGTAAGAGAATCAAATGTCCATGTTAATCAACACTGGAAACTCCGGACGGTGTCACTCGCGCGAGCGTTGGAGGCGGAGGCAGACTGTGCTCACTCGTCCCCTGTTGGTGCAGGGGACATGGTGAAGAGCTACGGCAGTGACAAGGCCATAAACCCCAGTGCAGACGGACGTGGTGACGTGGGCATGACCACGGCAGCATACTGACAGGGTGTTTAACTCCTAAACCAGCTGGAGGAAGGTTCGTCTCTCCAGTGGAAGGCAGGGAAGGAGGAAAAATAAAGCAGAAGGAGAAGAAACTAGATTAACAAATCCTAGTCCAAATGGTTACAAATGATGATCAAAACCTGGATCCCTGGACTACAGCAAACGTGATTGAACAGCTGTTAACTATAAAAGACACACCTGGAAGGACAGAAATTCAGGCATACGAAGCAAACCAAGGAAGCTGGGGTAGGAGTTTTAATATTTCAGGGTGAAAAGCATCATAAGCACTGTTTACAGATATACATCTACACATATATGCACCTAACAATAGAGGCTCAGGAAGTCATAGCAGTGGTGGATGTAACAGAAATAATCATAACTGCCGATTTGAATGTGTTCGTTACAAAATCCAATAGGTGAAGCAAAGAGACATAAGCAATGATACAATTTTAATTATCTTTAACACACATGCTATATATATATATGCCTATCTTCATAGATTATATTCATATATATACACATATTTATGTAAATAAACTTTACACTTAGCAAATGGAGAATAATGGGACATTTAACAAAACCAAAATTCCTTCTTTGTAGACTAATAAGAGAGAACAAACTCCAGCAAGATTGATGCTTTTTTTAAACATGAAGCAAGAAAAAAATGCAGAAGGCGGGAGACTTAACTACAGACACAATAGAGACTAAGACAAAAAGGAATGTTATAAACAATGATGTAACAATAACTTTGAAAACTTAGAAAAATGCGTACGTTTTTGGGAAAATATGAAATGCCAGGATTGGTGTAGGTAGAAATGAAAAACTTGGATAAACCAATAATTTAAGTAAATGCAAATAGTAACCAGAGCTCTCCACTTCCCCCTCTGCCACTGCCCCCAGTAACATCTGGGACAGATACTGGTGTAGGTGGTTGTGCCAGACTTTCAAGACACCGTGGACTCATCTAGTGTAAGTTATTCCAGAAACTTTAAGTAGAGGAAAAGCAGGTCCACTCATGCCATGAGGCCAGTATCAACTTGGTTCTAAACCAGATGTTGGGGGCAGTAAAAGAAAAGAAAATTACAGACTCATTACATGTATGCAAAAATCCTAAGTAAAATATTAGCTACTCAAATAAAAATATCTTAAAAATATTAACTCGATCCAATGGGAATTGGATTTGATTAAAATGTAAGGACAGTTTAGCATCAGAAAATGTGTCAGCGTATGTGGGTGAGAAGAGAAATCAGATGATTGTCTGATAGAAGCAGAAAGGGCATTCGATAGAGTTCAACGTGTACGTAGGATATAAATTCTTGGAAAACTGGGTACAGAAAGGAGCTTTCTTGACAATGCTTATGTGCCAAGAATCTACTGCAGGTTTAATGGAGAAACCAATGGATTCAAGTCTGTCCTAGTGAAGCCACCCCAGGGCCCTCCCTGCCACCTAACGCACCGTCTGGGGCTCTGCTCTTCCTCCTCCCGGTGTTTCTGACCTCTGTGGCCCTGACGTTATAGCCCGTGTCTCTGTTTGGCTGTCCTTCCACACCTGAACGCAAAGTCTGGGGATGGGGGCTCTGCTTGCTGCATGCTGGACCCCCGGGCAGAACCTGGAAGGGCCCAGTAGACATTGTGGGATGAATGAGTAAATTCCCTTCAGATCAAGACTCGGAAGGCGTGGGCATCGTCACTCCTCCTGGACCCTAGCAGAGCTTGGGAGGCGCCAGGCCTCCTGTCACTGAGCAGTCACATGTGACAGTTGTTTCTCACACTGTCACATGAGCAGGAGAAACAAGCGGTGGTGTGAGGGCCTGGACTGTCGCCATAGGAGGGCTGAAGGGCCACAGACCAATGAGCACGGCTAACAAGAACCCAGCAGGGTGGCCGTAAACTCACAGATCCCATAAATGTAGTACAAAGCCTATAAAAGTCACTAGTTCTTCAACACTGGCAACAACCCGCTAGAGAACAGAACACAGAGTAAGATACTGCTCAGCATGGCTACGAAACTCAGCAACATGTGGGGATTCGTCTGGCAAGAGGATGCACGAAGCCTTTGCCAGAGTGGGAGAGGACCTAAAGGTCCTGAAGATGAGGACGTCTCCTCGGCCCGTCTTCAAATGGGACGCCATCCCATGTTCAAGGAGAGGCCCAGCGACAGGGTAGACAGGTGACAGCTGGGGGGCGGTCTGGGATGTCTGACACGGATGAGGATGACGTCAGGAATGGTGACAAATAACAAAGGGCGGTGAGGAAGGGAGTGGAGGTCACAGAACCCCAACAGCCAAGGAGGGTCTGGATGGAGAAGCCGAGATCGCCCGTCCCAACACTGGTAGATGGCTTTACCCAGGGGCAAAAACTGGGGAGTCTGAGGGCTCTAAGCGAGGCGTAGGCAATGGGGACCCCCAGGTACCGCTGGGGTCCCTCCATGGACAGCCCGGGGGCGGGGCACTGGAGGTGTTGAACACAGTGCCCCTGCTGGCCACCAGGGGCCAGTAGAGGGAGGTGGGGGGTTCACCCAGAGAAAGGACAAGTTAGGGAGGTGGAAGCCCCGGAATGTTCCAGAGTGGCTGGAAGCAGTGAGCCAGGTGTGCACACAGTGGCACAGAGAGATCCTAAGACCCGTGTTGAGTGAGATGAAAAGCAAGGAGATCATATGAGCACATGCCCTTTAGGTAAATTATGTGCCCCCATAAGAAGACATCAGTTTACCAGGACGCCCATGGGTTCCAGGACATACAGCACTCTCAGGAGGATGGCATGTAGCGGGGGAAGGCTTGGCTCTGCCCTGGCTGCTCCCCCCGGACAGAGGGACAGGTGGGCTGTCCAGCTGTGTGACCGCTCACGCCTGGCCTCTGTGCTCCAGTGAACCACACACCCCTTGCACCCACCTCCCAGAGGTGAGGAAGTGGCTCCGCCCCAAGGCCCTAGCACCAGCCCCCATTCCCCCCCCGTCCTGCAGACACACGTCCCCCCAGGTACCCCAGGCTAAGAGGCCTCTGTGGGTGGGCTAGGACACCTCGGTGTCTAGTCCCACCGGACCCCACTCTGGATAGGCTTTGCTGGGGTCGGCTGGTATCCTAGGAAGCCTTCCTGTCCCCTACAAGCCCACTGACCCCAGCAATGGGCACAGGGTCTTTGGGCCTCAGTTTCCTCACCTGCAACAGGAGGGCAGTGCCGTTGGGTGGAAGGAGGGGCTGAGCTAGACAGGCCCTGCCCCGAGACCCCAGGCCTGCCCCCGGTGCTGGTGACCCCTCCCCAGCGAAGCAGGTGTGGCAGGGTCCTCCGCAGGACCCGGTTATCTGGGGGGGTGGGGCCAGGGCCAGCTGGGCACCTACACTGTGGACATCTGCCGTCCTAAGAGGGCCAGCTCAGCAAGAAGGGAGGTCAGAGCACCCCCTGGCTGGCCCTGCCATGCCTGAGGGGGTCATGACAGCTGTGCTCCTTGGGGCTGGAGCCCAGGCTGAGCAGAGGCCCCTTGGAGGGGCTCCAGCAGGCACCGTGTGGGGGAAAGACCTGGAGCACGCCCTGGCCTTCCTGTCCACACTGCCCATGGCCAGGCCTCACCGCAGCCGGGCCTGCACTTCCGGATCCTGCTTGGAAGAGTTCTCGTCCTGAGCCGGCCTGGTCTGGCCCTCCCCAGGTGGACCCGGCCACCCCCAAGAGCCCCGCCCCCGTGTAGCCCCTCCCCAGGGTCCTGGGACATCCTTTCTCCAGGCCAAACGTTCTTACTCCTGCTTATGAAGGAAAGGGCCTCAATTAAGGTTGCGCCCTCCCCCAGCTCACAAACACGAGGACATGGCCTCAGGGCTTTTCCAAACCCACTTTGCTCCATTAATAGAAAACCTACCTGGCAGAGGATGGGTGGCAGGCTGGCCTGCCCTCCCCGAGGAGCTCAGGGGTCAGCTGTGAGAACAGACAGGCCAGTTATGGGGTAGCCGGGCTTACACAAAGATGCTGCCCACTGGCTCCTGCCTGACATGCACTTACACACGCACACGTGCACACACCCCTGCCCTGGCTGCCAGCTGCCCCCCACAGCAGCCCCAGGAAGAGCAGAGAGTTAACCCAGCTCACAGGTGGGAGAAATCAAGGCGCAGCTTTCCACCTGTCCAGGCAGTGGGAGGAGCTGGACCTGATCTCCAGTGACCCAAGCTCCCAGACCACGGGTCTTCCCTGAGCCCTGTGCCGTCCCCGGATCCTGCGAAGTCCCTGCACGGCTCTGACCCAGGCCTGGCCCTTCTGGCTGCCTAAGGCTGCGGAGGTCACTTGGGCGGTCAGTGGGGAGGAGCTGCCCCGTCCTCCTGGTGCTGACCCCCTCCACCACCTGGTCCGCGGGGGCTCAGAGCAGCTCCACCCCTCACTCAGCCCCCCACCCTGGGCCCAGTCCCTCCACTCCCTCCTACAGCTGGCCCCAGGGCTGGAGAGCAGAGGGCAGGCCTCCCAAACCACCCACTTCTGGGGAGCAGCACCCCTGGCTTTCATACAGAAGCCGAGCCCCAGTGGGATCTGGGCAGATTCTCAGGAGAATTCTGGGAGTCCCCACCATGAGTACAGCACCGCCCAAGTCGAGAGGGGCACCAGGCATGGGAATTGGGAGGGCTTGTCAGGAGGTGCTTCTGGGGAGCAGGATCCATCCTGGTGCCTGGCCCAGCAGCCAGCAGCCCCTCCCACCCAGGCACACTGTCACTTTCTCCCGGGAAGCAGGACACTTCCTCAGCCCAAGTCAGCCGACCAGCTCAGAGGACAGGCCAGCCTGCCTCTCCCCACCTGCATGTCCTTGGTCCTGGGGGAGCAGATGGGATGGGTCACGGTGGGGCCCTGAGGGAGGTGGGGGCTGGGGGAACACCCCAGAGGGGTCTCCACAGGCTCTGCTGTGTCCTCGAGTTGCTAGACCCGCTGGTCAGGCTGAGCCTCACAAGGGGCTTCATGCAGATGGGTGTCAGGAGCCACCGGCCTTGCCCATGACAGGTGTGCCAGGGCCAAGGTCAAGTCTGGGG